GATAAAAAGAAAAATCCAAAGTCCCTTCTGTAAAAACTCTAGATTCTAATATGACTACAAAATTAAACAAGAATGTTGAACCTGGCTTTATCCAATGTTCAGATTTGTGTTCCTGAAATGTATTAAAATATGCGCATATTTAATGAGTATGGCTCATTTGCATATTTAAACATGCTATTTCATAACACTTTTTAATACAAAAAACAATTGTGTTAATGTAAGTAATTAACTGGAGAAATGTCTAGCTGATATCTTAAAGTAAATCCCCACTTGTAATCTAAGTGGAGGTTTACTGTATTGTTATTTCCTTTGGGCCTGAATATTGGCTCTGGAAGCTCGTGTTGCATCTCTGTTGGGAATGGGTTAGCATGTGGCTGAACAAGTGAGGGATATGTGAAATGTGACACCATATCCGGGGTACATATCCTGTGATGATTGTCCAAGTCTGGGGAAATGTGTGTTTCCGAGTGTGTGAGTGTGTGTGCCAGCTGCAACAACTGGTCTCATCCTCGCTAACTGGTCTCTTAATGTCTCAGCTGACACCCCACCCCCCGCCTACATGCCCCCCGACGAGCAGCTGGGCCAGGAGAGCCAGTCCATGGAGACGAGCAGCCCCCTGGTGGCCCCTAACATGCCCAGAGGAGGTAAGGACAAACGCATTATGAGACAATGGCACTACAGTGATAATATTACTGCGGGTGAAATACCAACCAGGAAGTACATTTTGAAGGTTTATGGAAGTCAAAGACCACTTACTGAAGGCACGACTTAACTGCGCTGTAAAAAAAAAATCCCCTTTGTATCAGCATATTTGTTAGTGCATCTGAATTCCAGACACTATTCATGATGATGCATTCCTGTAAAAATTAAGCCAGCCTTTTTTTTTTAACTGCCCTATTCTGTAAAAGCATTCAGGTCACAGTGCTGTACAACTGCAACATTGACAATACAATTTCCAATTTTGTACAAGAATAATTTAAGGATTTCATCATCTTTAATTAAATAGTTATTTTGCACTGAATGACATACTTCCGGTAACAATAGTTGCTGTGTACTACGCTAATCCGTTGTTAATGAATTAATCCTGTTCAAGCTTTAGTGTGTCTTAAGGTAGGAGCTGGTGATAATAATAGACCCATAGGGACAGTTCAAAGTCCCATGCTGCCAGAATTCAGCCTCTATCTATTACTCTTTCTCTGTATTCATCTCATGTCTAATACCTTCGAGTAGATATCTGTGTGACGATGTCCTCAGCCAAGTTTTTGACTCTCCTGTTCTTATGTCACCTGTCCCAGACGTGCAGCCGGTGGAGTACGAGGAGCCGAGCCACTGGTGCTCTATCGTCTACTACGAACTCAACAACCGAGTGGGTGAGGCTTATCACGCCTCGTCGACCAGCGTGCTGGTGGACGGCTTCACTGACCCTTCAAACAACAAGAACCGCTTCTGCCTCGGACTGCTGTCCAACGTCAACCGCAACTCCACCATCGAGAACACCCGCAGGCACATCGGCAAAGGTACGAATATCGACTAACGGCTACGGAGCCAGTTGATCAGGTGTTCGTTAGATCAAATTTCATTTAAATAGCCTGATCTAACAAAAGCACGTGCTAGAGATGTTGTTCTATGGATTAAGAAAGATAATAAAATGACAACATAAACAATTCAAGTGACAACAATTATAACATTAAAGTATATGAAAATATTCAGGAGGATGTCAAAAATGTTAAGGTGCAGCTGAAAAAAAAATGATTGAGACAAGAATGCATACAGCTCAAGAGAATGAGAAGTAGGAGAAAAGTGGTGAAAAGTGATAGGCAAGGGTCCCCCGACAGTCTTCAGTCTGAAGCAGCTTGCTCAGGCTTACCTTGAACCAGCCCTATGAGCTTTATCAAAAAGGAAAGTCTTAAGCCTAATCTTAAATGTGAAGAGGGTGTCTTTCCCCCCCAACACAAACTGAGTTCTGGTTCAACAGAAGAGAAACTGAGTGAATATCCTGACCCCTCTTATGTCTGTCTCTGTTATCCAGGGGTTCACTTGTACTACGTGGGCGGGGAAGTGTACGCAGAGTGCCTCAGCGACACCAGCATCTTTGTCCAGAGCCGTAACTGTAACTACCACCACGGCTTCCACCCCACCACCGTCTGCAAGATCCCCAGCGGATGCAGCCTCAAGATCTTCAACAACCAGGAGTTCGCTCAGCTGCTGGCCCAGTCGGTCAACCACGGCTTCGAGGCCGTCTACGAGCTAACCAAGATGTGTACCATTAGGATGAGCTTCGTCAAGGTGAGGAACTCAGGAACTCAGGAAGGCACAGCTAAACATGTCACAGGTTTTTTTATAGCAAACTTCCTCACAAACATCAAATATCATGATTATAGGAGGCACTGTTGTTAAAAAGCTTCTCTCAAAGTTTCCACATTTTGGAAAATGCCTTATTTTAACCATTGTTTTTAAATTGTAAGAAATACGCTAGAATTTGATATATATACTCCTTGGTCAAATATTAGATTTTTATCATAATGTAGTATTCCTTATGTAAACTTAAGTATGTTTTTTTTTATTTGAATTGAAACAGTCCTGTTGAAGTGTTTTGTCTCCTGCCTTCTATCACCAAATCAAAGTGAATATGAACAGCTGATAATGTGAACTAGGTAAAACAGTTTGATTGTTGCAGGTATTAAAGGAATTATGTCAATGTTTTTGCAATTGCGTTGAGCACTGCCAAGATAAATCAATTAGTTGTAGTAATAGATTTTTTAATCCAAGCTTTCTTTAATGATTTTTTCCCCCTAATTTCTTCCAGAACAAATTGGAAGACTTTTTTTTTTCAAATTTCTGACATTTAAGAGGCAAAACTGCTTATGGATATTGTTAAGAAAGAATTATTGCCATTTGAAAATAATCATTATCTGAAGACTTAATGAAATTAATAGTAACAATTGAATGTAATGAAGTCCAGTCATTCTTGGTCTATGCGACCTGACAGAGCTTGAATATTACTTAATATTAACCCTTTCTTTAATTTCCTCTGCCTCCCCTCAGGGCTGGGGGGCCGAGTATCACCGACAGGACGTCACCAGCACCCCCTGCTGGATCGAGGTGCACCTGCACGGGCCCCTCCAGTGGCTCGACAAGGTGCTCACACAGATGGGCTCGCCTCTCAACCCCATCTCCTCCGTGTCCTAATGATGGACTTGTGGGAGCTCGGGAAAATCCTTTCTACTTTTTTTTTTTTTTACTTTTCTCCCCCCTTAGTGATTTATAATTGAAGGTGGTCTTAATGGCTGAACTGTTTACACTTAACTTTGGGAAGGGATATTGAACTTTGGCTGGAGATTCGAGAACAGCAAACAGCCGGAATGAATTGTTGAAACAGATTTACGAGAATAAAGAGCAGTAACGACATGGACACACTGCTGCTTGACAATGCTCCAGCACCTGCAAGAATACAGGGCTCCATTGTCAAGCTTGAATCTGTCAAATTTTCATTTTTTTGCAAGTTTTTATTGTTTTCTTAAACGTTTTTATTTCTGTGTATGTGTAGTTTTTAATGTAGCAGAACTGTGTCACTACTCTGCCTTATGTCCGACAGACAAATTGGAATTTTGCCGAAAACCTTTCTTACATCGTCGTCTCCGATATTTACAATTTGAAGATATAGACACGACAATGTTTACCATTAGGCTCAGATATAACAAGTGCTTTCTTTTTATAGTCTCTACTGCTAGAAATGAACACTGAGCTACCGCCCTTTTTAACAAGTATGCCGACCTGATAGTTTTCAAAATGGGAAATCAATCACTGAACAAGTTTTAACATGCCATAAGCTAACAACATTGTGAATGTTACATCTATCGCTATAGAAGTTGTCATTTACGATATATTCAGACAATGGACATCAAGTTAGATTCTTGTTTGTACTCTCGAGTCCAAGTAAGAGTGACCGTATTTTATATACTCACCGTATTAACAATATTGTGCACTCATGGATTTTGTGGAGGCATATTATTGGCGTGGGTACCAAGGCATTATGTTGATAATTGAATTCATTGTCTCAATGAAATAAACAGGTTATTTGGTAACAGTGATTTGTGTATTTTATCTCTTTGTCTGTTCTTTTATACTTTTAGTAATACTTGGAAAGATGGAAAAGGAAAATAAGTGAATCCAATTATAGAATCAGAAAGCCACATTTAGGGTTAGCTATGCTATATAAATTGAAGTATTAAAGAATACTTACTTTAGATAAAAGGTTTAAATACTTTCAAGAATCTGAAGCAAGTCCAGGTGCCCTTTTATAGAGAATATCATGGTACTCAAAGCCACTTTACATTTACAGATCAAAATGAAAAAAACACAACCTTCCAGGTTTAATGAATAACCTTCCAGGTTTAATGAATAACCTTCCAGGTTTAATGAATAACCTTGGCCCTTGGGAAACATCTTTTGATTTACATTATTGATGAGAAACACGTTATGGTGGAAAGCAGAAACCAGCAGATATAACATTCAGAGACACGTTTATCTCCATAATCCAAATCTTGCTTCCCGTTGATATTTTTCTTAAATCAAAGAGTTCTTAGAGCAAGAGTTTTTGAATAAAGGGATATAAAGTATCCTTAAGCCACATTTGTAGACTGATTTGGACCTATATTTGCCTATTGTATAAATCCTAACGTCCTGTGTGTGCAGTATTCCCACATTATGGCAGCATACGAAACCTGCATGTAACCTGACAACTTCCTATTGGTCCACGTTGGTTTTCTACCGTAAATCTCCTAAAAGACAGGTCCCTCAACTATACCAAATACAATACACATATACATCTACAAATACATCTAAGAAAATGTGTGATTTAATATAAATGACACGTGAAATTAATATCTAAGGCAAATATTCTCTTCCTAAATGCTCCTAAACCGAGTAACTGACGGAAAGGTGCAGTGTGAAATTGCTCTTGCGTCATATTACCTCAGCAGCCGGATGTGATGTGGCTCCTAAGGAGCAAGCCAAAGATAAACACGTAGCCAGACGAACAGGGGCGAGGATAATACATATTATAGAGGGGCTACCGTGAAAAGATCGAAATGGAGTAGGAGCTAACAATACAGAGATTTTAGCAGGCAAGGAGACTTTTTCAAATTAACAAAGAAGCAAGTCTTCCGCAGACATCGAGTCGGTGAGTCCCGCAGAGTACTGACAGCTGTAACGTTACCTGCTAGCTAGCTTACGGTTAGCTAACCCTAGCTAACTATCATAATTACCTATCTTTGGCAGTTAACTAGGAGGTCTCTGGAGCAAAGTAATATTACTCCATCAAATGGGTATACATTCAGCTTTCTCAGAAGCATATACATAGCTCATTAGCTAAAGTAAATGTTTATTTTATCTTGCAAAAGCCGTTACAAGGTTGGAGGTGCTTTAGGCTTCAATTTAAAATGTTAGCTTAAACGTTAGCGAGCTAAGTTAGCTAAAAGAGCTATTTATTCTCTGGGATGGTTCATGTTGGGTTTAGCTACTTTCATATACACAGAAATAAGAGTCATATTGTTTTTTGTGTTGCATGCAACATGAGGAATGTAGCATATGAAGGACGAATTCAATACCTGCAACAGTGGGAGTGTGTACACAATGCTAACAAAGTGCACTGCTTAGCATTTGTACAGGAGCAAACAGAAATCAAGCATCAATGTTTTGATTTTGAACACGTATGGTATTTAGTAATGCTGTGTGGCCTGATAAAACATGTACAAAACACCACCTTACACTCGAGCTATGACTGTAGATTTATTGTAAAAAAGAATGCTATATCAGTTTGTAGCTTTTCATACAACAGGTGTTTTAACAAAAGTGGGAACATAATATTCTACAAAGTTAAAATATGTCTTAATGATAAATAAAATATGTTAATCAGATTGCTCATTTTGTAAGGAATTATTTGATATAAGGATTTGTTAACAAATACTTGCTAGTGTGTTTACTCGCGAGATCTTACCCAAATAGCCCTAAATGCTTAATGTTATTTGACCGTGTATAGTTAACACTTAAGAGTAGGTGTGATTCATGTCCAACCCCTGGGTAAATACTTCAACATTTTTCTTGGATCTTCCTGAAAAAAATGTAACCCAATCAGTTCTAAACACATCATCCTTTTTGAATTAAACTGCTTCCACTGGAGCCTATCACTTCAGTTTTGAAAATGCTACTTTGCATTACTGAGATTTCCACATGAGCAGTCATCTGTGTCATCTGAGATATAACAAACGATCTAAACATGGACTATGCTTCATTATCAGAGTTCTTGGATGTTGTAAATTGTTGTAATCATTATTATGAGCAGTATTGGCACAGAATATTGTCTTCCTGATTACAAAATAAATGGCTGGTAATTGGAATCTGTAGGTACAGGTTTGTCTGGTGCCTATATTTGACACTATCTCTGGAACAGGCCTTGAGGAGGGGTCAACACTGTTCTTGAGAGTTTTGCTGTTTGCTGTTAATGCAATACTTACCAGATACCAGAAAGTAGTGACATACATTGGAACAAAAAATAAAATCATAAGCTGTTTGGCTGCTGAACAGATAATAATAACCCTGAAAATGTATTTTACAGTTAAAGTGTTTGTCTGCACACAATTGTAGGAAAACAAAGGCATTGTACGTCGCGTCACAGCAAACAGACACTCTTCAGTGCGGCTGCATCTTATTGCCTCATTAACCCTCAAATATCACAATCATACATTATTGATTGTTTTAACCTCTTTAAAGGTTTGCTGTTGGGATGTTTTTAACCACGAATGATGGTGTCCTTAATATTTTAATGATAACATAGTTTACAAAGGAGATCATTATGAAAGATTAAAAGGCTATATATATTGGCAGAGAATTAAATCATTTAGCTGTACTGCCTGAGAAACAATTTGCATGCTGCTCTGCTACATCAGTCAGCTTTCACTTGCATCAACCTCTTCTCCCTCCCTCTGTTTCCCCTCCACAGTATCTGTAGCCGAATCCAAAATGGTGCGAGCAGCCTTGGTGACCGCCACCAGCCTGGCTCTGACCGGGGCCGTGGTGGCACACGCTTACCTCCTCAAAAACCAGTTCTACCCGACCGTGGTCTACCTCACCAAGAGCAGCCCCAGTATGGCGGTAAGAGCAGCGCTAATGTGAAGTCAAACCCTGAGTGACGTTTGGAACATTCAAATATCTTAACTAGGGATGCACAGATTGCAAATTACTCAGCCAATACCAATATCGATGGTTAGATTTATAACTTGGCTGATACCAAAGTATTTGTTTTAATTTCCCCCGTCCCCCCGTCCACCGGCATATGAAGACACACAGTTTTTTTGTCTTTCATTATTTAAGAAAAATGATAGCACACACATCCTTTACCAACAGTATTTGGTTGTTGCATGTCACCTTATTTGCTGTTTGCTGATGTATGGCCAATGCAGCGGTGCCTCCCTTATTAATAACATTGAAATATGACAATAGTTCCTCCAAATCCCTCACAGCGACTTTGTAATGACTCATCTTTCTGTTCCACTTTTGTTTCTGGTTCCAGGTGTTGTACATCCAGGCCTTTGTGTTGGTGTTTCTGCTGGGAAAGTTCATGAGGAAGGTCTTCTTCGGACAGCTAAGGGCTGCGGAAATGGAGGTAAAGTTTTTAAAATATGACTCATAATCGTTACAGTTGATTATGCAATACATTGTCCCAGTAGACAACACTGTATGCAAACCGCCTCTTTGTTAATGTGCATTATTTCCGCTCCATCACCAGCATCTCATCGAGCGCTCCTGGTATGCCGTGACCGAGACGTGCCTGGCCTTCACCGTCTTCAGGGACGACTTCTCCCCACGCTTCGTCGCCCTCTTCACCCTCCTGCTCTTCCTCAAGTGCTTCCACTGGCTGGCTGAGGACAGGGTGGACTTTGTGAGTGACTTCATCTTTATCTTTAATAAAATACAATATGGCTGTGGCTTAATTTCTTACAGTGACATGTAATACTCCTTCTTTCAGATGGAACGCAGTCCGAACATATCCTGGATTTTTCACTTCCGAGTGTTATGTAAGTTATCATTATCAGCCACGTCAGAAATCCTTCTACCCGCCCTGCTCTGTGTTTAATCTCTGACTTCTGTCCTCACCTCATTTGTTTTATTGACTCTACTTATGAAACACTTCTTTAAGCTAAATGAAACTGTATGCAAATCATTGCTGCAAGCACATGAGGCCAGGTGTTCTGCAGATTAATGGACACATCAACGCACAGCAATTTAAATATTAAAAACAACATTCTAAACACTGCTGAAAAAATAATTCATAGGCATTTCTTTGGATGTGTAGAAGTTTTATTCCATGTTGTTTATCTCCTGCAGCTCTCATGGGACTGCTGGCTATCCTGGACTTCCTGTTTGTTAACCACGCCTGCCACAGCATCATCACCAGAGGAGCCTCAGTTCAGCTCGTCTTTGGATTTGAGGTTGGTTATACTTTGAAGCTGAATTTTGTGTTTTTGCTGTTAAAAAGGTCATTTAAACAGGCAATACATCACTGCCACTCATTTTGCAATGTGCTAATGAGCATATGCTATCGTCTGCTGACTTTCCGTCTTTGAAGATAGTGCTAGTTACTTTCTTTAGAAAAGAGTTGCCAACACTGGATGGGACACACCACATATTCTTTTCATGGTTTCCTCGGTTGATGCACCATCCGCCGTATCCATTACTGGAGACAGTAACTGCAAATAACTTCCTGTAATAATCTTTGGTAAATGTTGAAAGCTACTGACCGCTACCAGGGAAAAGGGCTATCCTCTTCATGTTTTTGTTTACCAAAGGTCGCCGTAATTACTTTGTCCCGTTAATTGAGACTTCATTTTTTGCTGGAGATTCAACTCGGTGACAGACAGAATTATGAAGTCTTATCGGAACCAAACTAAAAAGAGTTATGATAAATATATATGTCTAGTCATCACATTGACTAATCAACAATTACTCCACAATCATAAGTTAAGGAAAAACACTTTTGCCACTTTTATCCAACAAATACCCAACAATATTAAAAAGTTTAAAAGCAGATGTCACGTTGAGACATGATGATAATAACACCCCACAATGCTTCACCACAACCTCATACTTTTATCCTTTACGTACTAAGTTCTTCATCCCCACACACATAACCCCTCCCACTAACTCTCCTCAGTACGCCATCCTGATGACCATGGTGCTGACCACCTTCATTAAGTACCTCCTGCACACCGTGGACCTGCAGAGTGAGAACCCCTGGGACAACAAGGCCGTCTACATGCTCTACACCGAGCTCTTCACAGGTACACAGCCAGCGGAGCTTTGAAATGTTCTTTTAAACACAGTTTGTGTGAATCAAGACGAAGGTGGTGACAGCCATACTGACATTATAGTTGATGATTTGTATTCCAGGTTTCATCAAAGTGCTGTTGTACATCGCCTTCATGACCATCATGATCAAGGTCCACACCTTCCCTCTGTTTGCCATCCGGCCCATGTATCTGGCTATGAGGTGAGCAGAGTGACGCCTCATTGAGTTCTCTCAGAGCTTTAAATATTCTTCAAATGAATAGAAGTTTGGCCATATCCAAATCTCCATGATGATATTTCATATATTGTTACATTATGATTTGTAGTCACTTTATATATTTAGAATGCATGTGTAAGCCATGTTGTGAGTTTGGTTTTGTTTTCTCTCTTCTCTCAGGCAGTTCAAGAAAGCTGTAACAGATGCTATAATGTCTCGGAGAGCCATCCGCAACATGAACACACTGTGAGTAATACAAATCGTTATTTTTAGAAAGCTCCTTTTTTGAAAGTTGTTTTACAAAATGCTTCGACAAAGATAAAGCAGGATACTCAGAAGAAGATATAACAGGAGGCAAACAATAACAAGACAGAATGAACTATAGGTTAATAAGAATAAAAGCAATACAAATAATCAGAATACCTTTTATTCTTCCCACAGAGGGGCAATTTACATTTACACAATAATGTAAATGTCCTTTTTATGGTTTCAGAGAATACAAAGCTTCATTTCTTTTTTTTACACAGCCTTTGGAGAGTTGCAACAACAAAAAAACATATATATATCTTTTTTTCTTTTGAATGTTTTTCTGTAATATTCTTTCTCTGCTGTTAATTTACCTTCTCATTGTTTCCTGTTCAGATACCCTGATGCCACTCCTGAAGACCTGCTGGCCTCTGACAACGTCTGCATCATCTGCCGAGAGGAAATGGTCACGGGAGCCAAGAAACTGCCTTGTAATCACATTTTCCACTCCAGGTGAGTCCCGTGGTCGACCATCCGACTCGAAGAAATATCTTAGGCCGTAAATGCAGATGTGAGACGGTCAGCATCTACAGTTACTGTTGACACTCACAGTTCCTGTATTTAAACTGTAGTCGGCTAACAGATAAACATGACCTAAAACAAGAAGCTCTGGTTTCACATTGTATTTAAATGTTTGTTTGTTTCCCCCCCCCCCCTTCCCCACAGCTGTCTCCGCTCCTGGTTCCAGAGACAGCAGACCTGCCCGACCTGTCGTATGGACGTTCTGCGTGCGACCACTAACAATCAGACTCCAGCCCCCGCCCAGGCTCCGCCCCCTGCTCCTGCAGCCCCCGCCAACGCCCCCGCAGCCCCGCCCCCCAATGGTAAGAGTCACATCATGAACACATGACGCCTAGCAACGCCCAAATAATTGGCAGAGCGGCACGCACTTCATGTGGCTGCTTAAGACTAAAGCAGTCTTTAAAAACAACTTCTGCAATAGAGTGGTGCAGGAATGAGTCCTAAACCTGGAGATAAGTTAGCATTTTGACACTCTCCCCGTCTGAAATCAACCTTTTTTTAACTTTTTGGTTTGATGCCTTTTTACGAGAATTAGACGTTTTGTTAAAAAAAAACATTAAAAAAGCCAGTAAACAGCCCGCTTGTGAACACCTGTAGCTTCTATCTGTATTAAAAACGTGTCTTAGCTTAGTTGTGGTGACACTATTCAACCCTCGTGTAGTTTGTTGTTAGCTTTTTACCTCTTGCGGTTGCATTTACGCTTTGACTATTATAAAAACAGTTCTAATATGTGGAGATTATCCTGCTGCGTGTGTTTGCCACAGAGCTTTTTAGCAATATTACAAAATCCAATAGAAAATCTCCTTGGCTTTTTGTCCAGGGAGCCCTTAAGCTAACGTCCAGGTCGGCCTACAGAAATACATCATCACTGCACCACTCTATTCTGCACATTCCAAAACCTAAGAGTACCGTTACCTCTTCCCTCTAACACATTCTAAAAACCTTTTCCATTGATATGAGTCACTAAGGGCTTTCCCACTACACACATTCCAAGTGGGCTTACCCGACTTCGGCCTAAAAGTTAAACGGCCTAAAGAGGAATTAGCGTCAAGCTAAGGGATACCCCGGGCTAAGAATAGGCAGTAAATGTTTGTAAAAAATGTTGACTATCCTGCATTTGTATTCACACATAGTGGCTTACGTTTTGAGAATCCAGTCTACTTGATGTGAACTTTTCTTGCTTAATTAACATGTAGCGTTTCCCGGACTTTGCAAAGTTAATCATTAAAACAAACAAAAACATTTTCGGAGCCTTCTCCAGGGTTGTTAAGGATCTCTTTTGTCCCCGTTTCGTCTCCAGTGGCCCCAGGCATGTTACCTGGCTTCCCCCCCGGCGTCTTCCCCTTCTGGGGTCCCTTCCCTGCAGTGCACCCCCCTGCTGCAGCCGCCGCAGCCCCCGGGAACACCAACGCTCCTCAGAGCAGCACAGAGGCCGCACAGGCAGCCGGTAAGGATCACTCACAGAAATATAGTAAAAAATAGCAGTATTTACATTGAATATGGTTGTATTCCTAAAAATCGAATTGAATAAAATATGTGCAGTAATAACAAACAGGATAAACATAATAATGTTTTTTATGGTTTGTCATCTCAATCAAAATGTTGTGTTTGTGTCTTCAGGGAGCGCGGCCGGTTCGTCGACTGCAGACGCGGCGGCAGGTGCAGCTGCTCCAGGATCAGCCATCCCAGGCTTCCCCTTCTCCTTCCCCCCGCCCCCCTTCCCCTCTGCACCGTGGATGCCCATGCCTCCACCTCCCCCCTTCGGTGAGAACACACACTCTGCACTGTTAGACTGAAATAAACACACTCTGTGTCGTGTTATAAGAATGCAAATTAGTCATGCAGATTATATTTTTGTCTTACTTCTTTGTAAAGCCTTTGTTTAAGGAAGTGCTGAGCGTTACCATAGCGACGCACTATCCCGTCACACTGTGTGAAAGTCATTTCCAGCTACATTTACTACATTTTTTTTAACCTTCAAAAGTCTTTTCAAAGTGATCAAGAGTGGAGGCCTCTCACTGAAGGGAGTTTTTATTGTTTTCATTAGATTTTGGAAAGCTGAAAGTAGTCTGAGCTTCTGCAAATGTAGTTTTAAAGTGAAATAAATTCAAGAAACAGTGAAAGCATTGCGCTAGTGCTGCTTTTAATGATCATTGTCTTGATTATTAATCCATGTCACATAATGTGGTGACACATGCTCATGAGTGTTGCTTAAAGCACACGTCCTACAATGACTTTTTTACTCAAAAACATTCATTCTCCTCTCCTCCTCCTCTCTCCTCTCCCCCACCTGCAGTGTCTTCAATGCCCCCCCCTCCCCCCTCCCTGTCCCAGCTGTCAGAGGAGGAGCTGAGGCAGCTGGAGGCAGACGGTCGTCAGGGTCTGGAGGCTCGGCTGCAGTGTCTGCAGAACATCCACACGCTGCTGGACGCCGCCATGCTCAACATCCACCACTACCTCAGCACCGTGGCCACACTCAGGTAACCCCCCCCCCGCTTCATGTGGGATTTAAATTTGCAGTTTTCAGTTGAACGACTCAGCATATTTCTGTCTCTGTTCCCCGCAGTCCTCCCCGGGCTGAGGCCAGCACTGCAGAAGCCAGCGGGACAAACACCACCCCCCCCTCTGCTTCTGCTGAACCCCCCGCAGCCAGCACCAGCACAGACAGCCAGGAGAAGGACTCCAGCAGCTGTAAGTACACTGACCTTTCCCACCAAACAGAACGACCACCAAATATCTCCCCTCTGAGAGATATGGTTAAAAAGAACACAATGATGCTCCAGGAGGAGATTCAGGTGATATAGGGGGGGGGGGGTGTTACCTTGGTTGGTTATTGGCTAATGGTTTCACAAGCCAAAAAAACATTATGACATCATAAAGTTGCTAAAATCTGATCAGCTGATTTTCAGACAGGTTTTTATATAAATGGATCAGGACAAAAAGAGAGCGAATCTTTTGTCCTGAAACGTTCAGAATCTCTTGACACAGAGTTGATGTAGAAAAGAAATGAACAAGTGGATTTTGCATAATAGGGGACCTTTTAAATATGTTTTTTTTCCCCTCTTTTTTTGTAGCTGAGCAGGCAGAAGCAGCTTCTTCTCAGGCGGCCGACTCTACATCCATCGCCTCAGACATGGACACAAAAGAGGAGACGGAGGATGGAGTGGCGGGGGGGGATGGAGAGGAGGACGCAGAGCCCAACGCCTCAGAGCTGAGGCGCCGCCGCCTCCGTAAGCTGGAGACGTCGTCGCCGTCCTCCTCTCCGCCTCCGGACAACTGATCCCCGCGCTCTGACTCGGACATTTCGCCGTGGACCGACAGAAACTCTGATCCTACGCTGCCGCCGCGGTCCTTTCTTCCCCGCGACCTCCCACAGGCTCAGGTTTTGGAACTGTGTCGACCCGGACTCAGGACGCGATGATCGGTGCCGCCTTTCTGGAGTGTTTCTGCGTCGGAAAAGCAATAGCACCACCTTTTTAAGGAAACCTAGAATGACCACTGCAATAACACTGCAGGTGTTTGAGAGTTTAATCAGGCGGGAGAGGAATTTCAAACCTTTATTTGGTCAATGTGAGAGAGACGGTGTTCGGATTTGTGTTTGGTAGTTTTACTGTCGGTGAGGTCCTCGCCTGCACTTTGATTTGTCTTTTTCTTAATTCCGATTCATCGACATGTTACACCTGGATCCAGATCCAGTGAATTCAAATCAAAGGGGAAGTAGTTCAAACTGCTTTGGCTTCACTTTTCATTTTTTTCATTTTAACATCATCATCATCCATCTTCTGTTGCCGCTGCGATCGCTGTAACATACTGATTTATTTGAATGTGTACATACTGTATAAAGAGTTTTAATAGGATGATCTGTACATAATGCAGAATAAACTGTTTGACTGAAGAGGCGCGGCACGTATGTGGGAGTGTGTGTGTTCACAGAGGGATGCCGCAGAGGTGGAATGTGTTGAAGTGAAGCTCGTAGACTGTGAGCACTTTTTGTGTCAGAGTTTAAATGTTGCCTTTGAAATAAAGATTGGGCTTTAAAATGTAATATTATTATCATTCGTAGGTACAAAGCTTCTTTTAAGTTTCCTTTCAGAAAAGACAAATAAGACTTGAGGTGCTGCAGCAGTATGAGGAAAATAAGGAGCTTTTTGAACATTAAAGGTGGGGTAGGTGATTTTGGAGAAACCAGCTCGAATGCGCTAGAATTTGAAAATACACAACAGGAAAAAAATCTGCCACTTCCTTACAGAACCTCCTCCAACACACACGAACGCACACATGACCAATGAGGGCACGAGAGAAGTTTGTAAAGTGCACAGATGGAAGGCTGACAGGCAGGTAGGCCATCCAGTTACTTTAGCAGGGCCGGCTCAAATGATTGGTCGTGCTTTTTACAGTACTACGGCTTCCACAGATGACATTTTTTAATGTATTTTTTGTCAAAGCACTTAAGATATTCATTGCTATCGGGATGTTAATGGAATATAACAAAAAGTATCTCGAGCCAGTTTCTCAAACTTACCTACCCCACCTTTAAAGCACGGAGACATGTCCCAGTAGAGACACAGAATACAATTATATGAACCTGATAATAAACATCGTAGGGCCTCTTTTAAAGTGAAGGGTTTATCTACAATTTCTTTATGGCGCTATCTTGCTTTCAGACAGGGAACGTAAGCCTTTATCTATGCTCTCTTCAAACCCGACAGACTCTATTGACATAAACAATCATTTTATCTCACAGGACACTGGAGTTGCTGGTCTACTGTCACCTCGATTGAGTTAGTTCCCGCTAGTGTGTGATTTTGGTAAATATGAACTAACCCTTTTAAATACCAAAGTCTCACATGTGCAAACAAGAGGTAGATAAGCAACTCCTGTGTTTTACAAGGTCAAATTATACCAGGAAAATGTCTGTTAATGGAGACTGGTGGGTTTGAAGAGAGCACAGATAACGACTTTAGCTTTGCGTCTGAAAGGGTTGTCTTACAACAAAGTAAAGCGATGATATAATCTAAATAAAGCAAACACAGGTGGGGAAGGTAATTCACTTCAGAAACATTTTTTATATTCCATGGAATGCTCTTAACATCCCGATAGCAATGAACACATTAAAATAATGCTTTGACAAAAAATCCATAACAAAATGTACCTCATACAACCCCGCCCGCCTCAGAACATCTGAACTATCCCTTAAAGTACGGCTTCCATGCTTACAAATCTGTCAAGAGTCATTTCCCAGGAAGTCCCAAGAAGGGGAGATAAAAATGTCCTTAGAAGAAAAGCTCTCTGAAAACCAAACTACATTTGATTCAGTATTCATTGGTCATTGAAGAATAAATAGTTAAATGTTTTATTTTCAGCTGGCTTTTGTGTAACAAGCAAATTATTTCCCCGTTTATTTATTACCAAATGAAATCCTTCTTTTAGGGGAAATGATTCGGAAATTATAGAACTGTAAATAAAGAGTTATTTATTTCAAAATATAGTTTGTCAAGACATGCCTGATTGTTTTTGTAGTTCACAATTTTATCCACTGCCGAACTTCATTTTATTTTTGTCTTTACACTGTAGACACTTTATTTTAAAGTTCGGCAATGGATACAACTTCAAAAACAAATTGCACGACACATTTCTTAATGTATTAAATGTTTTCTCCATTTATGTTTTGTGCTTAACAAAAGGCTGAACAAACTCTTTAAAGTTTCTTTATTGGTCTGTTGTTTACACAGTCAAATATCAATCATGCGGTAAACACATGACAGTGACTCGCTATGAGGAAGCCTCTTTCCAGTAAACATGAAGTAAAATAACATTTGATTGAAGTGCAGATATAAAATAACTTAAAATGTCAAACTAATATACAATCATACAGGGAAGGAATACAAATTAACTTAAAAAGAATTGCTAAATGTACATAAAAAAAGTCAACCTGCTGATCATAATGAAACATCATAATGAAACATTGTCAAAAGATTTATAATTATTTCCAGTGGTTGTCACCAAGCTTATAAACTACTTTATGTGCATTCATTTTAAGGAATGCTATAGAAGCTAAATGTGCAATTTTTCGGGATTGTAAGAGCTAGTTACAAAAACAATCGAACAAGAACGTATCATATATAAGCGAACACATTGTAAACCACACGTTACCCTTTAAAAAGGAGATCACTGAGCACAATATCTGTCGGTCATGGCGTCTCCCATCCAGTTTGTTCCCTTTGAGCCGAGAAAGAATGTCAATATATTCTCTGTTCAAATTCTACAAGGTGCTTTTTCTCTGTTTGTCGGATGAGTTCCTGAGGATCTCAGTGCAAGAGGAGTTCACAGGGGGGGGGGCTGCTGGCTGTGTGTGGCCTGTGCTGGAGGACACGCTGACCCGGATGGTGGAGAGGAGTCTGGGTAGGTTCTGAAGGTGGGGGGGGTGGGGGTCAGTTCTGGGGGGTGGAGTAGAAGGAATGGTGCTGGTGGATCTGGTCTGGAGGTTTGCTGGCGAACAGGAGAGGAGCGCTCTCTGATCCGTACCAGCTGGAACAGTGAGAAGAAACACAAGTCACATAAACGCACAAACTGATTACACATCTATTAACTCGGGCATGATTTGAGGGGGTCCTTCTCATATTTTGGAAACTCAACCTGAGCTCGTATAATACAACTTTTGTTTTACAAGTTTGAGATAGAAGTAGGGATTCTCAACGACAGAAATGTCCTCGTTGAAACCAAGCTCCCAGGAAGTGTGCGGGCCGTTGAAGCTAATTTTCGTAGCGGCCAACTGATGGTACCACAACTTCTGTGTCAATCCATCACAACACTTTTCCCCATTGACTTACATTGGGAAGGAGATCTCTGTAAATCTGCATATAATTTTCATTAGTTAAATCGACCACCCAGTACGAACACGTTTATAGCCCTTATTGAAATCAATATGTTCTGAAAGTTAAAAAAATCGCTAAAAGCCGAATCCAGAGTTTTTTCCTCTCTCCATTCATCTGACTGAGCGGAGAGAGGAGGCTTGTTTGAGACGAGCTGCGGCTCGCCACGAAAGTAGACGAGAATAGCCGATCGCAGCCGGGGGAGGTCTCAAAAAGCTCGCCTGAAGTCGGACAGCTCGGAGTCGGAGTCGGCGTCGGCTTCTTCTTCTTCTTCTTCTTCTTCTTCTTCTAATTCTTCTTCTTCTTCTTCTTCTTCTTCTTCTTCTTCTTCTCTCGGTTTTTTGGCGCAACTTTAAGGTGCATTTTGCCGCCTCCAGAGTCGGCTTGACTCGGTTTGCATTTATAAAGAATGCACATATGTGTTTAATCGTTAATGTCAGATATGTAATAAGTAAATACATTTGTTCCTGCTCAAGATTAGATTCAACTTTATTGTTATTGCACAGATTACAGGTACTGAGACAACGAAATGCAGTTTAGCTTCTAACCAGGAGTGCAACAAGCAGTAAAGTGAAAAGTAATGTACACAATCTACAGAATAAAAGATAGAATTAATTGAATGATGAACAAACAGTGAGGGGTATGAATACACTAGATATACACAGCAGCCTGTGAGCAGTATGAGCAGTATTAACAGTGGGTATGAATATGCTAAGATATATAATGGTATGAACAACGGTAAGCAGTGCAAATATAGTATAAACATATATAGATATGAATTTCATGATGATAACTTTGTGGAACAATGATGAAAAATGTTAATGGAGGGGGCGTCGTAAAACTGAGACAAAACAACAACAAACTTTTGCCGAACCAATTGGAGAGTTTCATCAGCAGCACGTGGTAAAAACCACCAATGAACGCTCAGCTCGAGATACCAGCGAGTCGTTTCGCTTCCGCAGCCCGTGGAGAGGAACTGCGCCGCCTCGCCGCGCCTCGGTCTCAAGCTCAAGGCTGCGGGCGTCTAAGTCCCGCGAGATTTCAACGTCTCATGTTGGCGAGCCTCCAGAACAAGTCGGACAAAATGACTAACCATCATGGAACGGCTTGCTAGTGCGTTGCCTGATGGCATGATGGTATGGTATGATAGTGTATTAAAGTTTAAATCTTCCGGAGAAAATTATAAAAGTGCCAGTCAAAGGTCTTCTTTGTTATTTATTGAGCTTTAAAACAAATGAATAACGACTCTATATAATATAATAATAAAATACACGGAGCCTCTTTTTCCTCCCTCTCTTGACAGTGTCAGTGTCTGTGTCATGCTGATCCAGTAATGAGTGACCCGGCTGACAGCAAAAATAAACATATTTATAACTAGTTTAGGTAGTTTGAGAGGTAATTAAAATAGCTAAGGGTGATGATCTGACTTGAAGTGTGTGTTTTGCTGTTTTGCTGCATCACAGCGGGAGGAGCTGCAGGTGAGCAGAGCTGCGTTTCTCCGTCCTTTCAGATTAAACTTCACTCGCGTTTATGTCCATATCGAGAGAAAAATACATAATCTGTTCTCATGTACTCATGTTTGCCCTATGATGCATGGTCTTTTCCTGGTTTGCAGCACAGAAGAATAAAAAGCAGCAGCATCAAAACATGTTGATGCTTATCACTGACATACACATGACTGGAAAAAATAAAATCACCCTAGCATTTAGATAAGAAAAGATAACTCCAACTCTAAAGGATTTAAATTCTCAATGGTAGGCATACATTTACTTCATAACGTACATATCAAAAGTAGATATATAGGTAGGTCTAACTCTCTGTATATTGACTTCTACCTCTACCTGTGTGTTGACAGTACCTTGCGTGTGGGTGGGAGGCGGGTGCCCACGGCATCGGAGCATCCTCATCGCTACCTTGAGGGTCGTCAAAGAAATACGGTCGAGGTAAGACCCTGTTGTTGACAGCCATGCTGCTGCTCTGTGAAAACAGAAAAAACCCACATATTGAGATCATTTACAACGCTTCAGCACGGAAATGTCTTTACTTAGTTGACATAAAGTTCAGTTTCTGTCCGATGTGCTCTCTACCTCTTGAGCAGGCCGGCGCACTCTGAGGATGAGGATGAGGAGGCCGGTGGGGAGCAGCTCCCAGATGAAGAGGATGGCACCGAAGGCCAGGTAGCCTGCGTCGCCCAGCTCACTGCGCAGGTCAGCCTACACACACACACACACACACACACACACACACACACACACACACACACACACACACACACACACACACACACACACACACACACACACAATTCTTAAAGCATTGACCAACATTACTGTGTACTGGCTCTGCCTCTAATGTTTAGACGCTCACCTGGTCGGAGACGTTGTACCAGTCGAAGTTGAAGGACTCCACCCGCTGGCTCTGAGACAGGATGAGCACCGTCAGGTTGTAGCAGGCTCGACTGGAGAACAATAAGATCACCGCTGCTCCCAGTGCAGCTGTACGACACACCGTGGTGCCCTAGGGGGGGAGAAATACACCAGGTAGGACCCTATTTGTGGTACTTAATGTGGAATTTTGATTTCAACATAAAAAGTATAATTATGTTTAAAAGCGGCATCCAGTGATTAGAATTGTACTGTGTTATACATTTTTCAATTCATAAAAATGATTTTTTTTTTGTATTATTTGAATTGTTTTAATATACAATTCATAAATGTATTTATACTGGTACAAATGTGTTTAAAAGCAACATCCTACCGATTTATTTTTCATTTTTCTTTAAGATTTGTTAAATTATTTTTGTAAATTATTTATTGGATTATGAACTAATTTAGATATTTAATTTACCTCTCATTGCATTGTTTTTCTCATCCCTTATTTTTATTTTGTCGTTATCAGTTCTCCAATATTGTGTACAATAGTGTCTTTGCCTGTACCAATTAAAACAAGTGGAGTGCCCCTTTAACTTCAATGTATTCTAGCATTTTCTAAAAACAGAAATCGTTTTTGGGTCCGGTATCTTTTCCAAAGCATGCCGTTAGCACACCTTGCTGATCAGGTAGGGGTTGGTGGAGTGTGAGTGGCGGGCCAGCAGCATCAGCAGAGCGGCCAGGAGCACCGCGTCCAGGATGAAGAGCGAGTCGTTGACCAGGACTCGAACCAGGACCAGATTCCAGGTCCGCTCCCCAGACCCTCCACCCTCCCCGTCCCTGAGAGCCGCACAGACCACGTTCACGCAGAAGAAGAGAGCGCTCATCGCACCGTACATGCAGCGCGCCAGCCATCTGAGGAAGACAGGGAACAGATTAGTACTTATTTAGTATTCCAAAGGAAAAGGGCTTTTGACTTTCTAATGCGGGAGGAAACTTACATTCCTCTGTCCACGTCTGAGCTGTACGTCTCTCTCACTTTGAGTAACACCTGTGGTACAAGAGAGAAAAAGCAACAATAAGTAAACAAAAAAAAATCGACGTTAACTATTTGTTACAATGCCACCTGCCATACATCGTTTGTGTACAGTTTTCTCTCAGTTTTGAGAGATTATGACACGTACAAAACTCTTATAAAACAGGAAGTGGCACCGTCAGCAAAATACTGATAGTCGAATCCTTCACACTAAGGAATAAAAACAAATGTATAGCCCCAAAGAACGTGAGTCAACATCCGTGATTTTGAAAATCTACATGTGTCACCACTTAAATAATGTTGACCCCGCCCCGAAAAAAGGGCCCACACAATACTGCAAGAGAAATGAATGATGTTAGTATGTTAGACCTTGAAACTCTTCTACTTTCACCTATTTACTCATCATAAAAAGTATTTAAAATGTAATGGTTGTGTCGGACCATGATTTTTACAATTGTATTATACATTTCTGTGAGCTAAGAGAGTTTGGTCTTGTTTGGTCAAACTATTAGTCCACAGGAAAAATAAATTCACAATGACGTTAAATAAGAGCTAACACAATTACAAAACAGAATCGGGGACATATTTGGTGTTTGAACAAATGTTTTGGGATCTATTAATCACAACAATTATAGTTTAAAAAAACAAATATATATAATTATTTCACAATAAAGTGAATACCTTTAATTTTCTCGATTGCTGGTTGGACAAAAGCAGTACTTTTAAAAATGCTTTACAACTATTTTCTATAGATTCCAGTCCATCAGCGTTTCCCTGGTGCATCGTAGCTTTTCTTACCTGAGTGAAGTACAGGTTGATGAGGCTGAGGGTGAAGAACTGCAGGCAGACGGGGGAGCAGTAGAGTAGCCAGTACGCGGCCGCAGGCAGGTGGTTGGCCTCCAGAGCGTTACAGAAGTAGAAGGAGAAGAGGGTGGTGCGGAGGGCCGCCCATAGCAGGCAGAGGAACAGGAAGACGCTCTGGTAGCTCCATGTCTTGTGTCTGTACAGGTAGAGGCGCCACAGCTGGGCGTACACCACCAGGAAGAGTCCGGCGTACAGAGAGGTGTAGAGGATGGTGAAGCCCAGCTGCACCGACGGGGCCACGGCCGGGCGCAGGGGGATGGGCGCGGGCTGGGTGGAGGAGTTAGGGGGGGGCGGAGCTGTGACTGGAGCTTCCATTGGAGTACTGATAGGACTAACTAAGTGTTCATCATCGTCACAGAAAAAGTGACAAACCTTCCCCTGTCAGACACATCGGTGCACATGGGAGACCTGGAAGAAGATCCCCAGAGGTCAGCAAGAGCAGAACACTGAGCGACAGACGGAGGGAAAACGAGAACTTGATAACACTATGATTGGACGATATACAACATGAGGCCATATTATTTTGAGGGCAATGTTTTCGTTTTTGAGAATAATTTCACATTATTGTGATTATTGTTTTTCCTTTACAATGTATTTCTTTATGATTCTCACGAAAAATAACCAATTCATAACTAAATTGATATACAAACATAAACAAGACAATTTTTTTCCCTTGCTATTTGGTCTTTTAATGTGTGTTAACTGTTACTACTTTGAATTTACAAAAATGCGCTATAGTCATAAAATTATGTATATCTAATAGTGATTTATTTCAACATTGCCATTTAATTAAGGTGAAGTTAACCTTATTACAGTCTTATTTGATGCATGGATTGGGCAGGGGTGTAGCACATTATGAAAAGAAAGCAGTGCTCTGTTGATTGATTTTCAATATTGATATAAATCGTAGTATGGGTAACTTTCAATATCGTACACTAGAAGTGTTCACAACACTTGTAACAACAATCCCATGATACATATTTGTTCCAGCCGTGTCAGCCTTTACAGTACATTGATTTAAACAGTGATCCTTTTAAATAACAATACAACAGTCACATTATGGTGGCTGTTGATCCCACCTCTTATAGGACAGGAATATATACACTTTTATATCAACATTCATTTAATATTTCAGATACAGAAAGCCCAGAGATTCTCTCTAATGTTCGACATATTTATCAACATTTCAAACTCTAGTTATGTCATATTTGTGGCACTATTGGATGTCCTGATAATGTGCAGATTGTCATGTCCCCTGTGTAGTTTTCAGTGACCTTTGAGACTCAGTTACCCAGAGAAAAAATCTCTTAATAAGATAAATAACCGCTCCTGCTGCTCCGCCTGGGCTGCTAGACAACAGCGGCTAAGCTAACTGAAACTAACTTAACTAACGTCAGAATGAATGTCAACTATTTCATACCGACGCTCATCTATTCTTTGCTTTATCCCAAACAAACACACCATATGTATAGGCTGTCAGTACTCATTTAACAAAAACAACGGACCTTTTTGACGGGAGCAGGGTCAGTAGCGGACGACGGTAATCCCTCGCTTCCGTGTTGTGTGTTCTGCGTGACGTCAGATGGGTGGAGCCAGTATTTTGAATCCAACCCCCAACCGCCAATCAGCAGTCACAGGAAATCGCGGTTTCTTTAAGTCGTTGCTTACTGATCTCAAGAAGCACGGGACATTAATATATAATTAAACGGTAAGAGTGATTATAAGTGACTGATAAATATGTTTATTTAGCACTATAAGGTGTCCCATGCAACTTTTATTTACAATACCTCTATATTTACTAAAGTGGGCTCTCAACGGACGCATTACCGTTATTCCCGTGTCACGAAGGTGTTGTATTATTAACAAAGATGCCAATGGTGCTGCGGACACGGAAATCCCTCGCCCCCACTAAGGTGAGTGAGGGAGAGGAGAGTGAGGAAAAGCCCCAGGAAACAGAGTCCCAGGACACAGACCCGGTAACTCCGAGAAGGTCGGCCCGCCCGCACGGGAGCACTACGTACGAGGTGGGTATTTTTATTACTCAGCTTTTCCGCCTCCTCTTCCTCCTCTTCCTCCGCTGCTGCTACTGCTGAACACTTCAGCCACGTAGCTCCTCGATAACGTCAACGGCAGCGTTAGCTAACCCGAGAGAAACAGTACAGGAAGGAGAATATAGACAGAAGACTACCTTAAAGTGACGTACATTTACTGCTTCTAACACTTTGACGTATGTAATGTTTGCTTAGCCGGTTAGCAATACTGTCGGGAGCTAATAACTGCACCGTGAGTGTGAACCACTGCGCCCTGCTTTAAATCACTGCATCATGGTAAGTTGTTTTCTCTATGCTGATGACGGTGGTTTTATTTAAAGAAAATTACTAAATGTTGGTCCTTAATTTATATTACTTTCTTACTCTTGAATATTGATAAACAACAGCTTAATATTTATTTACATTTTTCAGTGTCTGTGCTGTAAATTAACTTTACTTTTCAAGCACACTACTTAAGTACATTTTGAAGATACTAGTAATATAATTATTATAATACTTTGTACTTCTATCCCACTACAATTCGAAGGTTAATCATTTACTTAAGTTACTTTGCAGATTTGGGTTAATGATGTGGAATATATAACCAACACTTAAATCAGACATTTAATGTAATTGGTTCCACCTGGAGTAAATTCACAAGCTACCCTGCAGTATACAAAGTCATTCAAAGTAGCTGCACCTTTACCAGCTTTGATAACATTTTCATGATCAATCATTATAATCAAAACATATAAATAATATTATGAGAAAATGGGCCAATCTGCTTAATGAGTACTTTTACTTTTGGTACTTTAAGTATATTTTGATGCTGATACTTTTTAACTTTTATTTGAGTAACATTTTGAATGCAGGACTTTTACATTTAACAGAGTATTCCTACACTCTGGTACTTCTACTTTTACTCAAATACAAGATATGAAAACGTCATCCACCTCTGCCCATTGTGTATATGCTTTATAACATTGCTTCCTCTTTGTTTACTGTGAATATAATGTGTCTTCTTGTCCCATCAGGACTCAGGCTCTGAGTCAGACTCTGAGTCTGTCCAGATCATAAAGATGGAGGAGACACTTCAAAGTCCCCCTGCAGAGCTGGAGGAGGAAACTGCTGAGGAAGCCCATCTAACGGTAGTCTATAATTCACCTCTCACAAAAAACGCGCCTCACGCTGTTAGATGTTTTCTAAAGGCCGGAAAAGCTAGTGTGTGCAGCTGCATGTAATCTTCAACAGGATATATTGGCAGGCTAGTGGGGAAGTGTCCTAATCTCAATTAGCCGCAGTACAGCAGCAAAGCTCATATTTAGCCTACATGCTTGCTATTTGCATATTAACAGGGGAACCCATATAGACATGACTAATATGTGAACAAAAAGGTAAATATATATTAAGCACCAATAAAATGTAGATAAAACGTCTACATATAAAGTCAGCCTTCAAAACAATATAAAGAAGGCAAAGAAATAAATACTCAATGGATAAACATAGACTAGATGATTTTGTACAGTTCATTATTTTGGGGTTTATTGTCTTAATTTTAGTATACATTTACATTTAAAGAATCCCTGAAATTAGAATTTATTTCAGTTTGAAATGAGTTATTTCCAGTTTGGAATGACACCTAAAAACAATTGCACTTTTGCAGCCATTTTATTATTTAAATTTTAACAGGAATAAAATACAGTATCTGTACGTCACGATATTTTCCTTTAAGTATAAATTGGTTACATTGTCAATGTCTGACTGCTAGCTGTTTTAAATTAGATTTTTTTTTAAACACTTATTTATACCTACCACTATATTTATCATAACTTCACAGATTGATTTATCATAAAAAATGTACCTAAAGTAATGAGAAAGTCATAGAATATGAATGGATGTCCATTCGCCAAAATGTGTAGAAACCCAGATTTTTTGCTTGTATGCCAACAAATATGCCATTTCTTACAATCACGGCCTGTCATTAAACCAATCAGGCTTTAAGTGTATATTTTTATAAAGACACTTTCAGGAGTAGTTTTCATAAAGAGCTAAAATGACATATATAATATTAACCAATATTAACGCACTACAGATATATCTGTATCAGTGAACAGGCAGGCAGATTATTCAGTACACTTATAAAAGCAAAAATGTGTTAAAGGTAACCTAAAACCAATGTTTAAATTGCATTGATTCCCCTTCAGTAGTTGAAAAAAATGTCCCATTTGGTGATCGTATCAAATTCTAATCTGAAGGATAATTAAAAAATAATAATAAAGAATGACTATTGGCATATTTTGATATTTGCCTCAAATCCTGTATACGTCGTTGGGCTATAAGAGTTGTGCTCTATCTGCAGACATGTTGCCATAGTAGGGAAAGCACAGGTGTTACTGATAATACTAACAATGGCTCAGCTCTATTTAAGTGTCTGTGACCGTGTGACACCGAGCCAGCATGAACTCAATGGAATCCACCATGAATCATTTACACCTGGGGTTTCACAACGTGACATGTAAAAATGTCTTCTGTGGCATTCCAGAAAATAACAAGTACAAAATACAAACATTGGAGAGGAAGGGACTGAAATCAAAAATATTGAATTAAAAGGCATTAGTATTATTATTTAATGTAAGGACTACAAAAGTTGTAAAATGAATGCAGCAGCTAAAGAAATGTGTCCTGTTAAAGTTATGATTCTTTTTTTTTTTAATTATTTTTTATTGATAGCCCAACCCTAGTTAATATGTATGTTATTTTTAAAATAGTTCTTATTTTCCTCTTAGGAACTAAATAACCTGTATTTTCTTGTTTTTTCTACACATATGTGTACTTTTTCCTAATTCCCTAAAGACTTCTGATTTAATAACAAAATCAACTTAAAAAACAGTAAAAGTTTTTACAAAAGAGAAAACTAATTTCAAACACTTTGGAATCTACTTTGGAAGGATGTTGTCATTGGATATTAGTGTATACAATGATTGAATTAAACTCAAAGCAAATTGAATGCTCATCAGAATGTAAAGTTCAAATATGTTGTAGCCATGGTGATACCCACGTGTCATTCATAAACAAATATGTAGAAATGATAAACAGTCTGTGGTGCATCAGACAGGAGAGCTCATTTGAATAGGAGTGGCTACCACTGTGCTTCGGAGCCTCAGCAGGTAATACACAGTGTTATGGTATTGTTGTTGAACAATAACAAGGAGTTTGCAAATGACTGTTTAACTGCTAGCTTTTAGAAAGCCGTTTTGAGTGTTTAGTGCTGCTTAGGCTGTCGAAATGGGTTTAAAGTCATTTAACTTGTGTGTAAGAGGTGCTGTAGATGTTAGTTTTTCAAATTAGCTGCACACATGATGTTTTTTCTAATTTAGTGATGTCTTCCACAGGAATTTAAGTATTGTAGCATCGTGCTAGATCGTATTGGGGCTGAGGACAAGGCAAGTAGAGAGCTTGAAGAGAGAGAAGACATGAACCGAAAAGGTGGGAAACTCGTCTCCCGGATCCCCACTTTCCAAAAACGACCCAGCGGCGCAATCCCAACCCCGGAGCTCCATGTTCCCAAAAAAGATCCCCCTGTCCACATAGCTCAGCCTCTGGAGAAATCTGGGAGCGGGGGCGCAGAGGCCTTGAAGTCCAAGCTAACCGAAGTCAGAGAAAAAGCACTCCCTTTACCGTCAGTGCAGACCCCCAAGATCGGCTTTGAAGCGGAACCTTCCACCACATTTGCCCATAGTCCCGTTACTACCACTCCCAAGAGTCTCTTTGAATCTGGGCAATACTCTTCCATGATTGTGAGCCCCAGGCCTGCCCTCAGACTGCAGCAAGGCTCAGAGCAACATCTACCAGAGGAAGACCAGAGCCAAACGCTTGAAAAAGGAGCCGATAACGTACTTGATGCCCCCGATTCTCAGCTGCCAGACCAGGGCCTCATTGGGCAAAAGCCTTTGGAACACACTAAAGAAAACTATGACGTAACGGTTGAAAGCTGGATCACTCTCAATGCCTATGGAGACACCAATAAGTCTGAAGACGAACTTCACACAACCAAGGTCAGCGATGTGGCGTCAATCATGGACGAACAACCGCCGTGGGAAATACAACTGAAGAACCTGCTCGAATTCAAGGACAGTAAATCTTCATCAGAAGCTGAATGTGAGGATGATTTAGCAGAGGAAAAGTCCGAGGACCATGATGATGAAGGGGAAATGAAAGAACATTATGAACCTCTTGTAACCAAGTCTGAGTTTTTAGGTCATGCAGAGAAAAGCTTCAACGTTGATGAAGCGACCTCTCCTGCAGCACCAGAGAAACCTGCGGAATCTACCAAGTCGACTAAGGTGGGTAGAAAAGATCAGTCACACTGTTGTCTCGGTGGTCTTAGTCACACAAAAAGGAATTCCACCACACCCTGCAGTAACAGCTGTGGTATGCAACGCAGCCCTCAGCTGTTTTCCAGTCTTGTGACAAAAGCTTAGATCATAACTTTGCACGTAACTTTCACAATGTTGCCCGTCTTGTTTTGTAGAGCTCAGGAGGCTGCAGTTTTGCCCTCTTCTGCTTCCTGCCCACCCTCTTGCTGCTGGTCGGGGGGCTGGGTCAGCATGTGTGGCACTACGGGCTCCCCTTGTCCGTGGCCCAGCTCACGGCTCAGATGGAGCTGCACTGGATGGAGGGCTTGCTGGTTCCAGAGCCCTGCAGCACTGACTGTCGGTAGGACACAATCAGGCTAATTGTTCGTCTATCACCGAAAATGAGCCACCCACTTTGACAAAAGTAGTGTTGAATTTGTAAAATGTATCCTTTTGAAACCTCAAGACACACTTATCCCAAAAGAGAAATCTTTGTGATTTTTCCCCTTTTATTTACCAAGATATCTGCGTATGGTGTTCGAATTACCCATTTGCTTTCGGGGGAGCCCTATTTTTTTGTGCACATCCTGCTACTAAATATGTCACACGCACGCTCTGTTGACTGGCGCAGCAGCGCGGATGCGATCAATTGCTTTAAAAACACTCTTCTACTAATACAGACGACGGTGTCACTATGCNGCGTTCTGAATCAGCTGCAGCTTTCTAATGGATTTTTTAGTGAGACCTGTGAAGACACCATTACAGTAGTCCAGTCTACTTGTCCATGCTTTTATCTTCAGTAGACTGGACTACTGTAATGGTGTCTTCACAGGTCTCACTAAAAAATCCATTAGAAAGCTGCAGCTGATTCAGAACGCCGCTGCTCGAGTCCTCACTAACACTAAGAAAGTGGATCAAGTCAGTCCGGTTCTGAAGTCTTTACACTGGCTTCCAGTTTGCTAAATAATTGATTTTAAAATACTATTGCTGGTTTTTAAAGCACTAAATGGTTTAGGACCAAAGTATATTAACGATCTCCTGCATAACTATGAACCGTCCAGGAGCCTCAGGTCTTCTGGGACGGGGCTGCTCTCTGTTACAACAGTCAGAACTAAACATGGAGAAGCAGCGTTTAGTTTGTATGCCCCGACAATCTGGAACAAACTCCCTGAATCCTGCAGGTCCGCTGCAACTGTTGATACTTTTAAATCCAGACTAAATGCGTATATTTTTGACGCTGCATTTTAGTGAGTTGTTCATATTCACACTGCAGTATGGCTTTTATTCATGTATTTTATACCTGTTGTGTTTATTTTATTATCTTTGCTTTTTAAATGCCTCTTTTGAAATGCCATTTTATAATGTGTTTCTACTTTATTTATTCTTAAATGTCTTCTATTTTATTTTGTAAAGCACTTTGAATTGCCGTGTGCTGAAAGGTGCTATATAAATAAACTTGCCTTATAACACACAGGAAAGGGAAAACACCAAAGAGCATAATACGGACCTTTTGTGAATCATACAAATGAGCAGAAACCGTGAATAAAGATACTATAACCAACTTTAATAAAACATGATAAGCTGTACAGAGTAAATAGGCTTTGGTGCATGATCTTACAGTATTTCATCAGTATAGATTTCTTTAAAGGGATTTGGACCCTTGAAAATGTTCAGAGATGAAACAAAACACAAAGTAATACAGTGGAAAATAAATGAAAGGCAGCCCCATATTTTTTTTAACATGTATTGTAGATTATTTAATGTGTATTCTGATGAACTTGTACTTTTTTAAGATGCTTTTTGAAGTTCTCTAAAATCGCCCTTAACTTTGGTTTGTCACTCTTGAGTTTTGTACTTTGTCCTTTTTAAGGCAATATTTCACACAGGCTAAATGTTAGAATTAGCTGTGCTTCATCTCAAATTGTATTTGGTCATTACACTGTAGGTGTTGCAAGATGCATTTTTTCTATATTTTATTTCAAGCTCAGTGTGAAAAGGAATGTAACTGTACAGAAAAGTTACAGTGATTAATCAGAAATAATGTTATCACACCAAAAGTCAACGTGTTCAACATTTCTTAAATGACACACTCAAATAAAAACATACAAATCAACTTGGTCTTGTCTACACACTTCAAACAGCAGTGCCCATTCCTCGGATCAGTTTCTCACACACACACACACACACACAAAATCATTTCAGTGAAAGTTTTCTAAGAGATAATAACACCAAAATCAAAAATCAGAGTGCAATCAGTGAACTACCTTTGATTCAAACAGATTAAATAATCAACGTGAAGCACAAACGTCTGCGAAGGTCGAAGCACAGGAATTAGATTCATGTATACAGCAGATTCCTCGGGTGAGCAGCATTATATCTATTCATATTATTATTACGTCACATTTTGAATGTTTCCTGACCTCCATCTTTTCACATTATCTGCACAAAATATTGTTTTAATTATAAACGATAAATGATGTCATATCAAATTAAATAATTTGAACACCTAATGCCAGAAACCAATCAGAAATCAACAGTAATTGTTCTAAGCTGGTACATTTGTTCCACATATGTTGTACATTCTGCAGCTATTCCTCTGTATATCAGAATAATTATCCACAATAACGAAAGATACAGTTGAAGAGAATTACTGGAATTAAGATGAGATGGCCAGTTTAGATATTTCTGAAATAGGGAATGTATGCATATATGTAGAAATGCATAAAAACACTGTCCTTAATAATCCATAATATATTATGTGTTGTGGCAATGATGTCGCTGTTCTGTGCTATTGTTTTTTAACTAAAATAAAATGGTATAAAATGTTTTTTTGTTGGCAGATGTTATAAGAAATATGTATATTTAAAAACATAAAACCACTGTGCTTTTGACTGCAAATGGACAGTGAGTGTTTCTTTAATCTTGTGAACGCTGACCTGAATATTGATACATTTAATCAAATATGAAAGCCTTTGAATTTGAATGGGTGTCTCATACATTAGTACCATATTAGTTGATCTTCTACAGTTATCAGTTACGCAGTCTTACATTTGACGGGCCCCATATTGGCAATAATCCTCTGACTTTGTGACATCACAAACCCCAGGACTTATTTTAGTGGCTGCTTCTTTATGACATGCTCTGTCTTACCACCTTCAATTAAACAGTACAAAATTAAACAAAAAGTATAAATGTTGTCAACAATTTAGTGATGATAATAACAAAACACCACCCCGAGCGACTGCAGAAACAATCTTGGGTACAGGCTTGAAATGTGGAAACAGTGGCTGTGCTAACACTGCATCATCAACAGGATACAAACCAAAAGTCAGGATAGTCTGCTGCTGCTAGCTAGTAGGGACGTAAACAACACGTTTTGTATTGGTAAGATATATTAACTTTTCCTAAAAACATATTTGCTGATATCACAATTTTCCATTCAGTTTAGGGGTCTGCATTCGATATGGGACAATATCATAAACCTGTTTACCACAGTCAGTTTCTATTCATATAAACTCACTGAAAGCAACGATAATATTATTTGACAATTGTGTGAATGGGCTCTTTTATGAAAATCTGATTTTTTATTTATTTAAAAAAATAAGGGCTTGTCTTATATGTATTAATGTTTTCACTTTGCGTGGATGATAACAGCTCATTAAACACTGAATGGTCCAGATCAATGTTTTGTTAGAGCCCTACTAAACAGTTAGGATAGTTCAAATGCAGAGACATGCTCATGCTGGGCTTTAAAAAAGAACAGTAATAACTTACATCGAGGGAAATGTGTAGTTTCCGTCAGTGATTAAAACACACAGCGTTTTTTATTCCTCGAGTATGTCAGAGTATTTTCTGTATTATTGCCTGGGCACTGTCTGTGCATTTTAAATAATGATCAGGGTTTGTTTTATCAAAGCGCGTTGAAAAAACTTTGGTGCATCTCTTTGTTGTCATCAATGAAAACGTTTTTGCTTGCTACTTTCACCTTGTGTTGTGTGCCGTAAACTCCTCGGGATGAAATCATTTCCAATGCTGGATTATCGAAACTGTACCCCACTGTAGCTAAAATAATCTGACCTTAAACCGCCTTGAGGTACATTTGTGTGGCACTTGAGATTTCAGATAAGTCGTTTTTTTCATTTTAACTGTATAATTAACTATGCTTTTAAGGATCAAGGTTTCTTTTGAGCTGCATTCACTTGATACACAATGTTGTCTTTGCTCAACAGGAGTGCAGAGCCTTGCTGTGAAAACAGCGAGTTTAGATTAGTTACCTATGATACCTCCCTGCTAGCTTAGCATGTGAATGCAGCTTTAAGCTAACGTTAGCACTCATTCCAGTTGCCTAGAATTTATTTTTTACACAATGTCTCAAATTGTAATGGATGGTAACTGATCTGTGTAATTTACAATGCATATATGGTCGGCTAATATGGCAAATGAAGGCACTGAAAAAATGAGTATTTGATAAAGACATCACTACAGCGAACTGTAGTGAGTAGCGTGACGTATTCCTGCAGCGTCAGAGTGCAGAAATAGGAAGAGTCCATTCGATGAGGCAGACGCTGGTGAGCTTGGACATAGAGAGGACAGAACAAACGTCTCCTTTGGTGCTGAACACTATCTGTCCTGGAGCTCCAACTTGAGGCCGCGGTCCGACGCGTCCTCGGAGGGAGTGTCTAGGACGGGATTGACGAACCCTTCGAATTCAGTGTCTAAGCTGTCCTCTGGGAGCGTACTCACAAAATCGTTCTCCCACTCCAGTGCGTTGGAGTCCTCCGAGGTAGAGGTGGGCCCGCTGGTCACCTGCTTGCCCCCGGGCTTTAGGGCGGCGCGCAGGATGTCCTCCTCCGTCCGGGACCTCTCCCAGGCTGGAAGAGCACGATTGATTCCTGCAAAGAAAGGACGGCAGCTTTTCATTCTGACAGCAGAAGTCACTGAAGTCCAAAATGGCAGCAGGCAGTAATCTGTTCCAACTCAACACTGTCCAAACCGAATTTGAAACTTAATCAGTTAATCAAGTTTTATCGAAATATGGACAATATGGACCAAAACAATGTTTGGTAAAGGCTAACTTTATAAAAATATAATTCAGAGCAATTATTGTGGTGCTGCAGAGAAGAATAAAAAAAAAACCTTGCTTGGTACAGTTAGTAAAAATCATAGAAATTGTAAAAACAATTTTTTCAAACCATGATCATTTGAATATATTTTTCAATGATAATGTGAATAATGTTTCAAAAATGATCGTTCCCTCTCATATAACTTAGAAGCCATTTATGTACAGTATGTACGGGCTGTAGTGGATGCAACTACACTTCAATCAATTGATTTGTTGATGGGGGGAATTCTGCACCTTTTCCATGATTACACAATGCACTACATTCATTCACGAGCTATTAAACAATATAAAAAGCTATTTGCAGCAAATTAAATGATTTTTAACCTTATTGAGTTACTGTGTTTTGTGATATTAACGATAACAGACTCAAAGCCAACCTGCCCAAATTATCATGATTTCAGAATATATACCAATAATATATATATNGAGAGCAAGACAGACAGACATTACGAGAGCGAGACAGTTTGTGCAAAGGTGTTAAACGTGCTCTGGGAGCGCACCGTTTAAGTTTGAAAGTTGAAAAGTTTGTGTGTCTGAAACGCTATGTGATACAGTACAGTTTACACAGCACAGTACATGTTCTGTAGCTACTATTGCACTAAATGGTAACACTTGAATACGTTATGCAACTTGTTTGTTGAAATGTTAATAAATGGGAGCTTCCTCAAACAGCCATCTCTTTCCCGACAATCCCCTCTGTGCACGAACCCTTACATATGGTAATTAAACATTAAAACACCTGCGGCTTATAATCCATTGCGGCTTATATATGCGGCTTATATATGTACACATCATTCAATTTAGCTGCTGCGGCTTATATTCAGGTGTGCCTTATAGTCCAAAAATTACGGTAATATGATTATATATTTATATAAATGTATAACTTTTGGACCACCTGACATATCAGGAGTGTATCAAGATGATTAGAAGAAACATAGTGGTGACCAAGAACAGCATAACACACTAAGGTCATCAGAATTGACTGCCAAACCTAAATAACCCTGGTGCTTGTATTCAATACTGTTTGTTTGCACTGAGCACAAACATCTGCTCTGCCTCTCCCCCCCAACTTTGCTGCAGTGTCATTGAAAACAGAATTGATCTCGGCTGAGAAATGACCAGAGCCCGGGTCTGGAGGCCGGGAGCGTTCTGTGATTGAACATCAGTCAAGATGTCACCAGAACCTTTGATGGATTAGTGATTTGCGACAGATGAAATGAATCCCTCACCTTCCTCGTCTTCCCACTCTAGATCCAGCGAGGTGCCGTCGTCGTTGGTGGAGCGCGTCTTGGTGGTGAAGTCCCAGCTGTACTCAGTGTTGGGGGTCACCACGTTCGTGTCTGACGGCAGTCCTGGAAATAAAGAGTCAATTATTAACAGGGAGTAACTCTAGATCTCTTTCATAGGAACTAACAAACACCTTGTATGTATACCTATGTATTATTTGAACTAATATTACCAAGGCCAGGTGGGGCACTTACTGTTGCTCCTGAAGGCGTCCGACTGGGCCTTCACATGATTGAGGTAGACGTCAAAATCCCCAGGAGCCCTGGAATTGGCCATGGAAACAATCAACACAACTGGAAGAGCAGTCACTGACTTTGGAATTGTTAAGACTTTATAACACAGCTTAATTGATCATTTATTCTAATTGGTCAATTTGGACATTCAGCGGTCTACTCTTTCTGTACTTTCTGTTGAAGGACTATGACGAACCCGGGTCCTCTAGACCAGGGGTTCCCAAACTTTTCAGCCCGCAACCCTCAAAATAACAGTGCCAGAGACTGGCGACCCCTGTCAACGAGAGGGGGGGTGCTAGTGAATAAATTAATATATATACGTTTTCCGCACTTTCGTGGGAATATCTCCGCAATGGAGCGAGCTTACGTTTCACTTTCGATTGCATGATATAGCCCAGCGCAACACCTTCGTCACACATGTTGCCACCTGTTTGTACCATTTTCAGGCGATATGTAATCTGTTCTAGAAAAACGATGTGTTTTCAGCGCAACACCTTCGTCATAATTTTTATTTTTTAATCATCTCGCGACCCCCACTCTGGGTCTCGCGACCCCCACTTTGGGAACCCCTGCTCTAGACCCCCTTGAATACTTTTTTTGTTTTTTGTTTTTTATATTTGTGGAGGGCAAAAAACTCTGGATTCATTATGGCTAAACAGACAGGAAGTAGCACTAACAGGAACACACCAGTGGATCTGGCAGTATTTAAAGACTGGTTAATGGAAAAGAAAATTACTTTTGACAGAGCAGAAAACCTTCATCAGTTTCAACTGTCGCTACGCAGTAAAAAGGGCCCTTTTATCTTAGCGGGAGCAACAAGAAATGTTTAAATCAATAAAATCCCATTTAAATTAATATGGTGTGTCAAATTATTGATTTCTTTAGTAAGTAGCTACACAAAAATGATGGGCTAGCTGCGTTTTAATCCTTACTCACTGTATAGTGCTTTAACTGGAGAAACAAATGACATGATTCAAAATAGATTTTCTGCTGAGATCTTAAAAAATAAATAGGTAAGACGCCTGTCTGCCAAACATCAACACAAATATCATACATCTAAAGCAGTGCTTCTCAAAGTGTGGTCCGCGGACCACTGGTGGCCCGTGAGCGCCCCCTAGTGGTCCGTGAGTATATTGGTAACATTTCACATTTGAAATAAATAAATAAATTTAAGTTTTCCGCACTCTCGCGGGAATATCTCCGCAATGGAGCGAGCTTAAGTTTGACTTTCGATTGTATGATATGGCCCAGCGCAACACCTTCGTCACACATGTTGCAACCTGTTTTTACCATTTTCAGGCGATTTGTAATCTGTTCTAGAAAAACGATGTGTTTTTGGATATGTGTGGAGTTAGGTGGTCCGCGAGTGTTTTTTTATTGGTTAAGTGGTCCTTGGTATGAAAAATAGGGATGTCCCGATCACCTTTTTTTGCTCCCGATCCCATTCCGATCATTTGATTTTGGCAATCGACCGATACCAATTTTTCCCGATCCGATCTTTATGCAATGCATTAAGAGAAAAAAAAGGTAACAGATAACGGCTGGTCATCCAACGCGATGAATTCAGCTATCGTGGCTGTTATTTTTTTGGCCTTTTCAATGTTCTGGGGCAGTTTCTCTTTCCTTTTAAAAGTCTCCGCCTTGCAAACAGGCTGTTACACTGCCTTCACTTTCAATGTTATAATACTTCCAAACTCCTGACATTTTCTCTGTCCCGATTCCCGAGTCACCAGCTGAACGTAGCCGTTACTAATTATATCTACTTGAGTGCGCCTACTGAAGCCTTAGCAGAGCCTCATGACCGCAGCGTGTCCTCAGCCACACAGCCGTCCTGTTGTCTGATGAACTTTAGTGACTCACTTTCTTTGCTGCGTTTCTCCGCCGGAGCCATCTGCTTTCCCCCGTGTCCTCTGGGCAGGCAGCTGCTAACAAAAAAAACACAGATCAGATTCTTCTCAGAACGAAAATATAGACTTCATTTGAAAGAAAAAACACATTATTTGGTGCTATTAAGGAAACATGTTAGCAAACAACAGAAACCAAGCGACAGCAGAGAAGCAGTTGAATGAGGCGTGAAAAGCAAAGAAAGTCCCATACTCATTATTTCACTTTCAATGAACGCTATATCCCCTGGAGCATGTATTACCCTGAAATAGTATAGGAAATATACAGCCATAATATTTGTCTTGCTGCAATACTATTACATTCCAATGGGTCACATTTCTCTATTTGTGATGCGAGGACTGTAATGGAAAAAATAGCAAGGCAAAAATAATGCTATTATTTGCAGCACTGGCCTTGTATTTTCTCATTTGACTCCTTGTAAAGGAGGGTAATAGCAGGTTTTATGTCTGTTTGCACTTTAGACCTTGCTGTATATTGTACATCATCTACTGGTTAATATATATGTACTGTAAGAGAGCTTTCTTGCCGTTCTACTAGAAAAAAAAATGTGTTCGTTTACTAGAAAATATATTTTTTATTTTACAATAAGACATGTTTTCGGTGTGCTGTATTTCATTTTAAATTATTTTATTTAAAGGTGCCCTATTATGCTAATGTTCAGGTCAGGTTTAATATTAGTATTTCGTTCCTCTACTGTGACATGTCTCCATGCTCTCAGGTTCAAAAAGCCCTTTATTCTTCTAATACTGCCTGTGCTTCAGCACCTCTTTTCACCCTCTGTCTGAAACCAGAGCCCAGTCTGCTCTGATTGGTTAGCTGGTCAGCTGTCTTTTGATTGGTCAACGGATTAGAGATCTCTCAATGTGAATGCAGAAAATCCTCCTACAGGGAAGGGAAACCCCTAAAAAGCATAATAGGGCCTCTTTAATTTGACATGTACACAGTCTACTTATTCCTGCATTTTTACTTGCACTATTTAAGTTTTTTTCTTGTATCTCTTAAGTATATTGTATAGTGCACTTTTGGAAGAGCCTCAGACTTTTTGGAAAGCTAGCATTGGCCAATAAAACCTTTCAATCTTGAGTCCTTGAAATGACTGAACTACTGATAGTTAGCTTTGTTCCTCTATGATAATTAAGAATGCTAACAAGTTGTTTGTCACGTAAATTAAGCAACAAGACATACAACGACAAGGACAAAAGGGCAACAAAAGACTGAACAGAGAAATGTCCCTTAAAGATAAGGCTGAGGACTTGAAACGCTGGAAGGCTGTGCACAGGGCCAGCGGGTTAGAGGAGTTAGTTTGTTTTAGTCAAAGTGGCAGAAGGGAGCACTCAGTGCTGCCTCACCTCCTTCAACTTTCGTTCACGCGCCAACCTGGCGGCCTCGCGCTGGGTGGCATTTCTAGCCTCCTCTTCTAGCCTCAACTTCTCCTCTTGTGCCTCTAACTGGGCAGACATAACAAAAATAAAAAAACAAACAGAAAAAACACAGAACAGAAAATTACCAAACAGAAAAAACAATGCAGCAAATTAAAAATAAAGACAAATTATGACGCTGTGTTAAGGCCATTGTAGGTAAACAATAAATACCCTAAAAAGTAAGCCTCAAAATAAAATATTTGTACACTGAAAACTTCAGTTTGCAAGGTTGGATCAACCCTATCGTACCTCCACTGGATTACAAGACCTATACAAATTATACTTTGCAATATGAATTAGCAATAACACAATATTTGTGAGTCCAGAATCTCTTCTTTTGATCCCGACTTCAAAGAAACATTTGAATTCGGCCATTGGAGAAGAAAAAAAAAGAAGAAAATTATATGTTGCAGCTCCTCACTAACATGTTGTTTCCCCTGTCCTTTAAACTGGGATTGCAACCTTGCAAAGGGAAGTGGTTCATATCAAACACTATGTTTCCAAATGTATTTATTTTAAATGTGTGAGTTTAATCTCATAAAAATTCAGATTTCTTTCTCACAATTCATACATTTATAATCTATAGAATATATATTTTTTCTCTAAATGTACCCTTTTAATATAAGTAAATATTCAAGTTTTTATCTCTTTAATTACTAACTTAAACTTGGAAATCTTTACTTTTTACCCAAAATGTCCCCCCCTTTCATAGATCTCTCAAATTACTGGTTCTTTTTTTCTTCTTTACCTACAATGGACTTGATACGACGTTGTAAAAAATAGGTCGAAAACATGAAATTAAATAAAAGACAGTGTGTCTCACCTCCGCTTGCAGCTTCTGGTCGATCAGGATCTGTTGATCTTGGAGCGCGGCGTAGCGGTGCTCCTTGAGGTTCTTGATCTCCTCTTCATTGATGGGCCTAATAAAAAAAAAAGTAAAGGTCAAGCGTTATTTTGTCAGAGAATATTTATGATTATTGTTTTGTATTCACACCAGATCTCTTACCTCGGGCAGGGCTGTGGGCTCTCAGCCTGCAATGCAACAAACACAACAGTTTATCATTACAGTAATAGTTATCAGTGTCAGATCCTCTTCCCTGCTGCAGGGTTTGACTCGAGTGCAACTAGTCTGGGACTCTGGAGACAGTAATCGAGTTACACGGTGATGCACAGTGGCTGCACCCATCATGTTATATCCATCACTGGAGGAAGGCTAACAAAGTGACGTCTGAAAGTAAAGGGTATCCGGGGACTACCAGCAAAATCAGTCTAACAAAATATGTATTTGCATGTATTGTACTTACAAATTGAACTTTGCACAAATTGTACTCACACTACCTAAAGGGATCTAATTTAAAGGTTTATCTAAATTAAAAAAACAGTTACTTATGTATAAAGTACCCTATGTATATTTGTTTCTGTTCCTAGAGTAGATTGGTCTATTATAGAGTATTCTAATTAATTCTGTATATTTTATATTGTGTGTTCTTTAGATACTCTCTTGAGAGTTGTCTTTTCTACCGTGGATGTATATTTGCTCTTTATGTTTATTTGATTCTATTTGTATTTGATTCAATTTTTCAAATATTTGTAATTAATGTGCAATGCTAACAATGCTGCTGTCTATCAGTCGCAACAGTTGACAGAACAATATTTTCCTTATACTTATTTAAAGCTGTTATTTATGGAAACGTCATCATTACATGCACAAACTTACCTCATCACTCTCTACCAGATTTTCAAACTGCAAAATGAAAAGAGACACATATATAATATGTAACATTATACGGAAGAGTCATCTTTAATACCAAAACATAATGCTAGTAAATGCACGACTCACACCTCTATTGTATAATGTTCCCCTGTGGTGGTGCTCCGGAAGTATTTGGACCTGTAGGAATAATTGAGAGAGTTTAAACATACTGGCAATCATCTTAAAAATGGGATGATGGCTTAAAGATGGAATTTAAAAAGTGGCCATTTGAAATGACAGAGCAGTATGAGGGTTACATTGTGAATAACTGCCAATAAAGAAGACAAAGCAGCTTCTGTGTTCCTAGGCCCTGTCTCAGGTCGACTATTTTCATTTCCTCGCTCCTTGGTCTCACCGGAAGTTGATTTGTCTGCGCCATCTTGAGTACCGTCCCATGGCTCTTATTTCTGCCGGAGGACCGAGGATCGAGGAGCGAGGAGCGATAATGGAGGAGCGATAATGGAGGAACCACCAGTCCATCCTCCGATTAAATCCTCAGATACTCGCCCCGCCCCCTTACTGTGTATCGCTCACTGATTGGACGATGCAGTGCATGCACTGATCTCATGCTTCTTGTTCTTGACATTATTTATTGGGGTCTACAACAGATAATACAAATGTTTGTGTCAGTAAATGTGTGGCAGGGGTGTTCGTGAAAATAACAAGGACAGAGCTGCTGTCAGACGAACAGCTGTGCGGCGTCATCACAAACGGACGTCGCTTCACGTGACGCTCCGGAGGAAAGGACTTCCCATTGCTCTTAAAACTAATTTCCCTGCTTCTCGTGGTTTCCTTGCGTCCCTCCCTGCTTCCCTGGAGGGAGGGACTAAACACAGGGAAACGACGCAAGTGAGGGAAGCAAGGATTTAATTTAACCGACCTGAGACGGGGCCCTAGTAGATGAGTATCAGCAGCTCTGGCACTTTATGCCAACATTAAGACCTTTTTTTGTTGCGGATGTGATGCCAGATTTGACAGATTTCGCTCACTGATAATGCTGTGACAGTAATACAAATATATCATGTGTAATAAATGCGTCTTCTGTAATAGTTACAACCAAGAATCATCTTCAGCAGCTTTACACAATAAAGCAGTAAGTAACACAACGTTTGTAACACAGTAGGCCTACAGAGATTCATAGATAAGCTTGGAATCATAACAATCTGTTCTCTTAGTTTATTTAATGTCCTGAAATGTTTATATGCAATCAATGGCATTTTATTGTGTTGCCAAGTCATGGAAAAATATGGTTCTCTTGGAGTTAACAGTTAATGGATTATTAGACACTGTCCATTTAACGGGGCAAATATCTGCTTCTGTCACAGCAAATAAGCACAGGTGTAACTAATATTTAAAATGGTTCAGTAAGTTCCATTTAAGTGACAGAGTAAGGGATCAGGGCCCTTTAACAGACTCCTACAAATCCATTAGAGCGTTAATTAGCATTATTGATCACACCTGTGTTTGAGTGCTATGACATGTCAGCAGTGCAATTGCTCTCTTTTGGCTTATGTCCTTGATTAAGTTAAGATGTATTTAAGCTTAAGGATGTCCACTTTGGGTTTATATTCTTCCTTTTATTTGACTTTGTTGTGTGTTGCACAGAACCTGGCCCTTCATGTTTTTAATCCTGATTTTAAAGACCTGATTTCCATTTTCTTTAGACCTAATAAGAGCACTTAAAGTGTACGTTTACAAAATGTTAATGCAGGTTTCCACCAAACACTGCTACCTATACTGTACGTGTAGGCCTATCTGTCAGCTCCAACATGTTAACATATGGATACATAGTATACCTAAGTGTGAAAAAGCAAGCTGCTAGAAGAGAGGAGGCCTTCTGTATTTTAAACAAAGAACAGTCAGACCAAAACACATGAATTATTAACTCAAATTTGGTGACATAACTGGGTGCAAATAACGCATAGAAACAGAAAATTGATTCCCAGCATATTTTCAAAAATACATTAAACTACAATGTCCAAATATAAGTCTACACTCATTGTGAAAGACTTATAGAACAACCGTAGCTCAGTGTTTTTTATGCTAGTGCTAATTTAATTAGACCTAGCTAAACTACATGACCACTGTTGACAATAGGGGTGGGGTCTGAACTGTTGGACTGTCCGGCTGCAGGTTAGACCACCCCACACAGACCCAAGCCTCACCACTAGATAACCCTTATCTCAGGGTAACAACATCCCCACCAGGTTCACATATACAGCTGTCAATAAGTCTTAAGTGGAGCCACTTATCGACTAACTAACTTTGAGCTAACGTTAGCTGTAACCGGATGCCGCTGCTTCACAGATGCTTTCATGCTAGTTAGCACAGCTAGCTAATGTCATGTTTCACTCACCCGCCTCCTCTCTGAATCCTGTTAGCTTCTCTCCGGAAGAACCCAGCACAGTATGCCCAGCAGTTACCCATCGCATTTTCAAAATATTACTATTATCTAGCAGCCTACTAGCTAGTAAAGTCCTGACAGATGCTGGTGCATTGGTGTAGGAAGCAACATCTCCAGTCCTGCTCCAGCAGCCACTTCCTCATCCTCCTTCCTCTCCCGATGATGACACAAGTGTCCGATACCACCACCTGCTGACGATTTTTTACAACTTCAAAACAGTTATTGATAGAAATTGCCATTTTGACAGGCAAGAAGCTACACAAATTGGACCCCCCCTCTATTTGTTAGTGTTAATAATTAGCCAAACTAACATAAGTAGGCCTACTGATATAAGTAACTATTTATACAGCAAAAGGAACAGTAGGAATGGCGTCTCCCTTTTACATGCTTTCCCAAAACAAGCATGACATTTATTACAGTCAGCCACATATTTGTCTCAAGATCTTTGGTTATCTCTAACAAATTTGTATTTTGTAAACATTAAGGAGAAACAACTACACATCTAAGTTAAGACACATTAAGTTGTGAAGAAAAAAGAGAATGTTTTTAAGTCTCAAACAAATCATTTAATTAAGCTGTAAGAACGTTATATTATACCATGACAACAAAAATAAAGTTTAGTAAACTGTCAGTTTTTTTATTTTATAGGGGAAATGTAACATCCTACATTGTCTTACAAATGTGTTGAGATTGAATTTAGGAAGTGACAAAGTCTTTCCTTTAAAGTCAGCAACAGATTTGTAGTAGGAAAGCATGCTTTATAAATGATTATGTATATGGTTTAAATGATCTAAAATGTTCTATTTCACAACAGTTATACAACCAGGCACTCATTGCAATCAGACTTATTATTCTTTACATGATTCTCTTACACATAAACTTCATTGCTCGATTCACACTATAATGCATGATAATGTTGTGTTAACATTTCAGCTAATGATTAATGGAATCAATCTGGTTTTATGTCATGATATGGTGTAGGCAAGTAATTAGGATTATATTGCGAAATATTTTCACTCCTCAACTGTTGTGTTGGATGGATTAGCTTAGATTAGTTTCCTCTAGTCTATGTCATCGGGGCTGAAGAGGTAGGCATGCAGCTCGTCTTCAGCAGGCGTGTTGTCCACATTGCTGACTCTGACTTTCTGGGCAACAGGTTTGCATCTGGGCACGAGCTTTCTCCCAGTCTGAAAGAAATAATTGTATTGGTCCTGTTTTTAATTTATTCTTTTTTTGACAGTTTCTCATTTAAAAGTGGGTAATTGTATGAGGTGGAGCCTCTGTTAATCTTCAAAAACATTAAAAGCTAATAAAATGTTTTTAAAATAATGTAAACACAAGTTGATTTTTGTCTTTTTGTAATGAGCTGTCATTTATTTCCACAAAATTCATCCATATCTTACCCAGTGCAACACATTTATTTTAAATGCAGGAAATGACTTACTATTTTCTTGGAGTCAGCCAGAGATCTCTCCAGGTACCTCCTCATCCTCTCCTGCTGTTTCTCTCTCTGCTCTCTCAGCTTTTCTTCACGCTGCCTGCAACATGATGAAGGATGACATGAAGTAACAGCACGTTTTTTTAATACAACAAGCTATTGTATTAAAAAAAATTACATTTGGAATTAAAGTGCTGAAACGGGTTTCTACGGCAAAGATTAAAATAATTAAAGCGAACATACTATGCTCATTTTCTGATTTATATTTGTATTTTGTGTAAATAAAAAGGAGGATTTAAGAAAGGAGTTTAATGGAGGAGTTCCAGGCAGGGGGTTGTGGGGGAGAAACTCCCTCTGGAGGGATCACAGAGATTTTAGCCTTTGCAAACCCTTTACATGCACAAAAACCTATATATAAAATAACAAAAACCTTTCCGAATGAATTCAAGACCAACTTTACAAGAACCAAATCTGAAGAAAAAAACTATTGTCAGTTCTACCCTTCTGATCTGTATGATTTTAATCAGAAAGGCATTCTGCAACTTATATAAGAAAATAGATGGTACCATGTCATAAAAAAATGACTTGCCATTGTTTAGATTTTTTAAGAATTCAAAAAGATTTATTCTAGATGTTTCAATACCAAGGAAGTCCATATTTTTTATTTAATAAATCAAATGCATTTTCAAGAGTTTACCACATAATGTGTAAGACCAACTTTTCAGTAACCACAATTGATGAAATAACTATTTTCGGTGGTTCCACTATCACTAAATTGATCTGATCTTACATTTCAATAACAGAAAAAAAGATACTTGCCATGTCTTAGGATTTTTTAGACTTTACATAGATTGATTTGCCACAGTTTGATACTGATAAGTCTTTTGATTTGAATGATTCCTATATATTGTAAGAATCTTTTCAGAACCTGTATTAACCCTGATTAAAGGAAAAACATGCAATCTAGTAGTCGACATTAGAAGCAGAAATGAAGTTGTTGCTCAATCAACTTTTTCTTGCAGGCAAGAGTAAGTAATAATTGTATATCTCCACTGAGGCATACCTGCTCCTCCTCTCACTGTCCTTGATCTTCTTCATCATCTCTAAGCTGTCCTCAGGGATGCTCTCGAGGCTCTGCAGCAGTAAAGCTATGCGGTTCTCAATATTGGCCATCTTCTCCAAGGTGCTGAGGTTGGTGAGTCTGTCGTCCACGCAGCAGCGATGGACCTCATCCACCTTGTCCCCCAGATCATCCAACACGACGTCCTGCAATCAAGAGTGGAAAGGAACAAGGGAAAAAATGACTTCCTGGGTGTCATCACTAAGTCCTTAAATTAGAAAGGCTGCTTCCTCACCTGGTCTTCTGTCTTCAGAATCACATGGAGCTCAACCTTCTGTCCGAGCTTGGCGCCTCTTTCCTTCTCTACGTCGATTCTCTGTTTCATGTCGTTGATCTGCAGGGTCAGCTGCTCTTTGTCCTTTTCACTTCAGTCAGAAGGGTTTCAGCATTCAATGGATTGTGAAACATTTTCCAGACCCAAGTTTAAAAATGGTGTGGATATAAAAAAATGTGTAAGGAAACTAAAACTGGTACTTCCTTTTATATGGACTTATCAAAAACACTTTACCTGTCGCCTTTTTTTTTTTTTTAATAAAACAAACAATGTCTAACCTATGAATATATGGCTCAGATAAATGATGAACTTCACCTCACGTGAATCTATCTTCTCATTAAAGACTATTTAATTAATTTTTTCAGGAAATATGGAAACCTTAATTCCCTCATCTCACAGAAGGAACCACGTTTTATTTGTGGTCCTCGGATGGGGTGTGGGGAGTGTGAAGCTAGTAATGGGTTGGAGGTCTTCTATTTCTCTCTTATATTAAGGAACGTTAAATAAATATGACTATTTTTATTGTTGATATTTTTATTTTATTTATAATTTTATTTATAATTAAATAGTTATTACTATTATTATTCTTTAGTTTATTCATTTTTTATTTTTTTTATTTTTAAGTGTGTCTTTGTATGGCTTTTAACATTGTTTGTTTATATGAAGGGAAACATGGCAATACCACGATTTATAATCGTTGAAAATGATGTTTCATAATAAAACATTTCTAATAGGATGTGGGAAAGTTGAGGGGATAAGGAAATAAATAATGTGCAAATAAGAATAGAGGTAATAATATATATGTGATTCCAAGTAAAAAGGGAGGCTCCTGCAGAGCTCAGGACGGCAAAAAGTCTGCTTATTTTAAAGCAACTCCTAGAGCTTTGACCTTTGACCCATGATGCTTACATCTTCTTGCTGGTCGTGTCCATGGACTGCTTGAGTTTTTCCAGAGTCTCCTCCACCCTCGTAGAGTTCTGAATCAGAGACAAGATCTGCTCCGTCAGCTCCGTCACCAGATTCATCAGCTGCTGGGGGTCAGAGAAGTACAGCTCCGGATCCTCCTGCAGAGATCATACACAAGGTGGGCAAAAAAGTACTGCAATAATACTGCAAGATAAAAATATGTTAAATATTTTAGATTTGGAAAACTGACCTCAAATTCTGAGTGGCCACTATCCAGTTTGGAAATTGTTATCCTGGAAGAAGTAAGAAGGAGTTTTGGAGTCAGGAGAAAGTGTTTGCAGTAGCATATAAACAGGATTTAAAATGAATTTATGGTAAGGTGTTAAAAATTATACAAGCATTCTGAAAATGACTTGAAATCATGTTTAATGGTCTTAAGTCACTAAGACAGAAGACATTTTTTCAATCATACTATCGAAAAATAAAAATAAAGTAAAATCGATCACACTCAAAAGTCTGCCACTTGCCTTTAAGTGCTTCCGAACATAGGTATTCAATAGGTACAAATTCTTTTAAAGCTATTTCTATTATGAATATAGGCGATTATTATTTTTGCGCTTATTTTGGCGTTTACTCTTATTTATTGCTGCATCATTGTGTATGAATATAAAGAATAAATAATAAAAGCAAAACAGCCATCAATGTTGTGATGTGATGTGTTTGCGTTCCCTCACACTGCGTCGCTATTGGCTGAGGACTGCCCGGTCTCTGTGATGGGCGCCAGCTCTCGGCCTGGACCGTACACCTCCATCTCCAAACCTGTGTGTTAGAAAAATCCAAATACGCCATTATCACATTACAATACTAGTCATACTTACTTAAACAAAAGGGTTCTTGGACCACTTATCACTGATTTTACATTTGAATATTTTCTTATACGTTTTTATGAAATATTTGTTTATGGTATTTCTTAATTATAAGAAAATAGCATTTTTTATTTTTTGTTAAATATTTCATACAAATATGGAAAAAAAGTGAATATTGCTCACTGTAAAGCGTGTTCCTTTAAAAAAATGGATACTAGTATGTGCATGAAAACGCAAATTGTAATAATTGTATTTTTCTATTTTACTTTTAAATAAGTTAAACATACAGAAATTTATTATGATTTTGAGGAATGACAATTTTATTATAATAACGTATGCAATGGGCTTCCATACCCTGGTGTTTATAATGAGTGTGATGTTGATTCCCTTGGTTTACTTGCCCTTCCTAACAGCTGACTCCTCAGGCTCCCTGTCCTTCTCCTGAGCTTCTCCTTCAGACAGATCCTTGTTTTTCAAAGCTTTGGTCTTCTGGGCCTCCTGCCACTCTGGAGGAGACAACTCAAACAGCAGCTCCTTGTACCTCTTGTAGTCTATCAGGATATCTTCAAACTTGGCAATCTCACTGTAATAGAAACATATTATACTCACTTACTTTAAAAATATCATTGTGTGATTCGTATTTGCTAATGTTTATCTATATTTACTACTTCTCACACTTCTTAGCTAAGCTTGGGAAAATTCCTTATTAAGAAGATTTGTTGCAACGTTGTTAGTTTCACTCCATGTGCACCAACAGTATGACCTTCAAGTCAGGTGAACTGAGAACATCCTGATATGGCCTCCCTAACTCCCAGAATGCTCCTTTCAGTATCACCAAGCTTCACTCCTCCCTTTGTCCTCTCTCTGTGTTTAAACATGCAACCCAAACTCTATCCTTCGTCTTTCACTCTGCAGACTGTATGCTCTCTGTATGACTGACTGAACTGTCTTGCAAGAAATAAAATACGACAAAGACAGCTGAATGGTTTGATTCTCTATTCACATTTGATAAATACATTCCCACCACACTCACTATGACAACGAAAGATTGAAAATGATTCAACCCCCATTGCACATTAGGTTTATTGGCGAAATAAAGAATGTCTCAGCTGTTTGCCATAAACAAATTCAACAAGAACTGTTTAAGTAGTTAAATGAAACTAATATTACAAGGGTTTTTATCCAAATTCAACAGAAAAAATGCTACTTTCAATGAGTACTGCAGTCTCAAAGTTATTCAACCCCTTCATGACTAGCATCTTCAGAACTTAGTAGAGCACCCTTTTTCTGTTGTGACCTGCTCTAACATGATGCTTGGCCAGACCCCAGCTTCTGACAGCCTTCCTGAGGAATCTTAGCCCATTCCTCATGGGCATTGCCTCTAATTCAGTAATATTCTTGGGTGTGCGTTTTGCTACCGCCTTCTTCAAATCCCACCAGAGGTTTTCTATGGGTTTCAAGTGAGGCAACTGTGAGACCACTCTCGAATCTTCCATCTCTTCTTCTGAAACCAAGCCTTGGTGGACTTTGAGGTATCCATCATTTTCCTGTTGGAAGGTCAAATGCAACCAAGCTTCAGCTTCCTCACAGACGGCATGACGTGTTTTCCTAAGATTTCCTGATACTTGACTGAATCCATCAGGGTTTCCAATGCCGGAGGAAGCAAAGCTGCACCAGAGCCTCACTGAGCCACCGCCATGTTTCACTGTAGGCAGGGCGTTCTTTTCAGCATACGCTTCATTCTTTTTCCTCCAGACATACCGCTGGTCCAAAGGCCCAAAAAGTTTCAGTTTCGTTTCATCGCTCCACAAAGCAGAATTCCAAAACTTCTGTGGCATGTGTATACAGTATGGTCTTGAGCATATTGGAGCCTACTTTTCTTGTGCTTTTGGGTCAGTAGTGGTGTACGTCTTGGAGTCCGGGCATGGAGCCTGGCGCCTAACTGTGCAAACTGAAACCTCAGTGCCTGCTGCCACCAAGTCTTGCTGCAGGTGTTTTGCAGTCACTCAAGGGTTTTTGACCACTTGCCTCCTCAGGAGTCTTGTGGCAGCCGCTGATAGCCTCCTCTTTCTGCCACGTCCAGGCAGTGAAGCCACTGTTCCTTTAACTTTTAACTTGCGAACTATGCTTCCAACTGTATCTCTAGGAACATTCAGTGCTTTTGCTATGTTTTTGTATAATTGTCCTTGTTTGCGCAAGGCAATGATCACTTCTCTGAACTTTTTGGACAATTCTTTTGACTTAGCCATATTTTGTTTTGAATTTGGATAAAAACCGTTGTAAAATTAGTTTCACTGAACTACTTAAACAGTTCTTGTGTCATTTGTTTATTGCAAACAGCTGAACATTTTTATATTTTGCCAATAAACCTAATGTGGAATGGGGGTTGAATAATTTAAATTGCAACTGTATGTAATTATACAACATAATCATACCTTGTTACGGTTCCTATTCCAGCCGTCAGTTTCTTGATGTCAGCATTCTTCTCCTGTTTGGCCTTTGCCTCCTGTTCAAAGCTGGCAACAGAGACAAGACAATCATTCACAACGTGACTCTTTTTAACGTGCAACGACCATCCATCTTAAAACACGTCTCCTCACAATGTTCTGGCCTCCACAGACTTCTTCTCGTTCTCCCTGAGGAACTCCTCAAATTTCAGGTTGTCTCTCTCGATATTCTTCTCCAGCTGCCTCAGCTGTCTGTCTTCCTTTGCAATGATTTTGTCCATCTTCAAAATCTCTGACCTTTTCATCATCAGAGACAGCTGGGGAGGGGAGAATAAAGGGTTCAATTGTTCCTCATGGGTGCGTTGGCAGGGATTATCAAGGCTGCACACATTTGTTACTGTAATTGATAAACACATAACCACAAACTGCAATATTTCGCTGCACTCTAAAATAAAACCAGCATTATTTTAATGGTATATTTTGTGTCCACTTCAATGTTCAATTTGTTCATTAAAAGAAAGTTAGGTAAATTATTTCCTGTTTTTTTTTTATTAAACAAGCTATTATATTCAACAACGTTATTGCATATTTTCCTCATATCAGGAGACCTTGAAGCTAAAGCAGCCAATTTTCAAACTTGAAGTCTTCAGCTCGTATTGCCTTAAAGGTCACCTATTAGCAAAATCCACTTTTTCATGTCTTTTATATAAACATCTGTCCCCTCTGTGTTAAGAGATTCTGAAAGTTTCAGGAAAAAATATTCTCTCTCTTTTTGTCCTTACCATTTACATAAAAGCCTGTCTGAAAATGAGCTGATCAGATTTCAGCAACTTTGTGACGTCACAATTGTGGATTGTGCAACCATTAGCCACAGACACAGATTCAGCACTTTTGGAAAAATGTTATCGTCCATCTGCTCTGATATCTGCTTTCTGGATATTCTTCACTTTCTGCGTTACTGCTTCCTCATAGCTGCTGGGATATTACCGTTGTGTCACTGTAGCAGCATTTTCTACTAATAAACAGTATATTTCTGATATCACAACCATGATGATAGCTTGTTTAAAGGCCTGATTTTTTAACACGGGCTATCTTCGTTTCTACGTAGATCGCTCGTTTTGATTGATTTACAGTATTACAGCAATTAGAACTACTTTGTAATTGAATATCAATCTGGAAATCTAACTTCTTACAATATGGGACATTTAGGAGCTTTTTTATTTACCTCCAATACTGCTTTCTGCCGTTCCATGTAGATCAAGTCATGTTTGCTGTCTTTTGCAATGTTTTCTGGAGATGGAGGAGAGACAACGGTCAGCATTTACGTTAGCAAGTAATCCACGGTGTGCACTCCCCTCTGTCTCCGCTCACCTCGTTTCATCATGGCCATCTTCAGCTCATGTCTGGTGGATGTCTGTTGAGGGAAAACTGTCTTACTCCTGTTTTGTTTGAGACTCTTTACCTTCTCCCTTTCTTCTTCTCCCTCCTCCTCTTTCTTCTCCTCCTCCTCCTCCTCCACTTGTTCTTGCAGCTCTTTCCTCAACCTGGCCATCATTCGAGCAGTGTGGGTGGTCTTCTCATTAATTGGCAAAGCCAGGAATTGACGCATCTCCTGAGCATGGATGGGAACAGGAGCAGGACTTCAATATGGTAATATATTTCATTCTGTTCCCATATGAGTATCACACATTGTATGTAAAATAACTTATTAGTACACATGCCAACCTCTTTTCGGTTCGCTTTTTCATTAACACTCAGCAGGAACATGCTATTGCTGTCCGGCACTTTGAATGGGCTCTGTCGAGTGTCTCTCTTTTTCATGTCTGCAAACAATAAAACATATCAATCATCTCATTGTTTTGGCTTTCTATTTTACAGATTTGTGACTGGCTACTACTGTACCTGGTTTGCGTGATTTGGCAGCACTGAGAGTCTCTGAAACAACAACGCTGCCTGGAGAAATCTCCGGTACTTCTGTTGATAACATGATTAATCACTGACTGCAGGGACACTGGGTCTTATGTGTGACGCATGGTATTATAATAAATATTATGGGATTAAGTGATGACATCTCTGAGGTGACTTCTTCCATCTGGCAACACGCATGCTCAGCGTTTTGTGTGTCTGCAGGTAACAGAAATACAAGATTAAACTTTTTTTGCAGAAGACAAACAGCATGAACTTAAAGTGTACATTTAAAGCAGAGCTGGGCAAATCCACACAACATAATAAAACTGTCCAAGTGCAAAACTTTTTATCTTTTAACTCAACACATATGTATTCATTTATTTGAATATTACACATTTTTACAAAATTACAACATGTTTTACAAATGTAATAGTTTATTATATAATAGGTTTTCACCTTTTACAGTACCTTGTAGAGGGACCTAGAGTCAGGCTTAAAATACATATTATTTCAATTAATATTGTGCTTAAATGATGCAAAAAACCTTTCACCTTTCAATGGTGATCATACCCATGGCCTTAATTGTTAACGTATTGCAATATTGATATTATTGCAGTATTACAAATTGGGTGTCAGTGGCTATGCACACGTCTGAAACTGGAATAAAACTGGAAGCTAAATTATCAACAGGTCACCAAATTGCTAAACTTTAAAAGAGATTCTTAATTAACCAGGAATTCAATCTTAAGGATTGATATTTACATGTATACAAAATGTCTAACACACATCAATCCCAGGGACCAGGACTAAAGCTGCCATAGTATACTAATTTGCTGTTTTAAATATGTATTTATATTTGACAAGCTAGTTATTATAAGGCCTACCATCAGTTAAGATAAACAATGTAACTAAATATTCTCTTTATGGGCATTCAAATGAGTTTCTGTGTATTTTAGCAACATATCACGTTTGGATTGTTTTCACATTTTATCCCGGGAGTGATTAGCTGAATTAGGTTAATCTGTTTACTTGCTAAACTAACGTGAAATTAGCCCAGTTTGTCTGATAACCAAACGGAATGTTGCTTTTAATTTGTGCGGGTTAGCATGAAGCTAACTGTTTACACACGTCTTTAATTTGATGTTTAAAATGTATTCCACCTACCGCCTGATAATGTTGCTGTTAGCATCACACATCTCCAGACTGGGCTCTTTGTTTGTGTACTGTTGCCTTGGTAACAGTTGCCTTCACGGTCTCCTATTAACTCCCTTCCAATTGGATAAAGCTTGTTTGCATAGTACTCCATCAATGTCTGGAGCTGTATTATAATTTACGTATTTTTTAGATGATTAATGGATTTTTAAAAGAATGATGCTTATTAATTAAATAAAAACACACGTTAATTTAATTTTAATTTCATGGCCAAACCATTTTAATTTAATTAAAAATGGCTCGATAGGCTATATTGAGCCTATAGGCTAGCAGTTTAATTCAATAAAAAACAAAAACATAATGGAGATTCAGTATAGAAATATTATTTAAATAAACCAATAACAAATAACCCAAGATTATACCACACTAGACAAGGTTGGCCTTATTGTTAGTTTAAATAGAAGAAGCAGTGGTGTAAAGTACATTTACTCAAGTACTGTACAATGTTGAGGTACTGTACTTTAATTTGTGCTACTTTGTAGCCTACTTCAACTCCACTACAATTCAGAGGTAAATAGTGTACTTTTACTCCACTACATTTATTAAATATCTTTAGTTACTTTGCAAATTTGGATTTATGATGTGAAATATAGTCAACTTTTGAATCGACTTTAGTTCCACCTGGAGTAAATTCACAAGCTACCCTGCAGTATACAAAGTTATTACAATTAAAACTAGCTGCACCTTTACCAGCTTTGATAACACTTTAATGATCAATCATTATAATCAAAACGTATTATGTATATTATTCTGAAATGGATCGATCTGCACAATGACTACTTTTACTTTAAGTATATTTTGATGCATATACTTTTGTACTTTTACTTGAGTAACATTTTGAATTTTTTGACTTTGAGTTGTAACAGAGTATTTTTACACTCTTTCTACTTTTACGCAACTACCATATCTGAGTAGTTTTTCCACCTCTGGTAAGACATTTCAAAAGGTCAGTATCCTTCAGGATAACGTTCTCTCCTTTTCATGGGTTTTTGAAGAAACCAAACATGACATTTTCTATACCAATGACAAATCTGCACAGCTTTTGTAAGAATTTCTTGCTGTGAAAACAATACCAAATACTGTTGGTGTCAAATTGCTTCTGAATTAAATTTTTATTCCAAAAAAGTCTCTTTTTAAAATGAGTATTTGGGGGATGTTTTGTTTATATGTTTTCCCACTGGGGAGAACATTTGGCAAAGTCAATTCTGTGTGCCAGTCATATTAATCCTCCACTAGATGGCAGAGACAGATCATACAGTCTGTGTCAAAGAGGGAACTCAATACTTCAAACAGAGATTTCAGTATTAAAAATAACTTAAAATACATAGAAATATATTGACATGAAATGTAGTGAAAGAGAATAGTTAACAATCAGAATACATGTGACAAGATTTTTTTATTCAGTAGCTGGACCCATATGTTTAAAAAATAACAATGATGGTGAGCAATATCTACTGAATGTGTTCAAGTAAAACCGAGCATTCCCTCTTGCTCAAATTAGATTTGATTTGTAAGTGGTTGATTGTGAATTTGCCCAATGAAAGGCAGTTTGTTAGGGCTGGGTCCAAAGTTCAGGACCTACAATGGCAGCGACCAGATGGATTCAGTCTTTTAACAAAGTTTAATAAAGGAAAAAAAGGAGCAACTAAAAAACAATCCACAAAATGAAGGTGGATCTAGTTCACGCTGGTGGCGGCAGCAGGACTCAGGCTGGCTCGAGCAGACACTGGAAAAACAGAGGAAAAAACAAGGTTACTCTTCAACAAAAACAGCAAGAGAAAATCACACTAAGCTAAGCTACTACGACATTCAGCTCTACCGAGTGAGACGGAATTATCTGGCACTGGTGTGTGAACATGACCAGGGTTTTATGGAGGAGTTGATTAGGTGAGTACAGGTGCTCCTCATTGTGAACCAGCTGAGCCTTCTAACGATCACCACACTGCACAGGAGAGAGAGAGAGAAGACAGAGGGGAGGGGGAGAAAGCAACACACCTAAACCATAACAGTACTCCCCCCCTAACGGACGCCTCCTGGCGGCCTTCCTGGCTTGTCAGGGAATTCCCTATAGAAATCTTCCAGGAGGGTGTGATCCAGGATAAGGGCCTTTGAGATCCAGGACCGTTCTTCAGGACCATATTCCTCCCAGTCCACAAGGTATTGGAAACCCCGACCACGCCGGCGAATGTCCAGCAGCCGGCATACTGTAAATGCAGGGTGATTTATCAATGATCCGGGGGGGTGGGGGGGGTCAGCCGGAGGAGAGAGTGGACTAGAGACATAGGGCTTGAGCAGAGACACGTGGAATGAGGGATGTATCTTGAGAGCAGGAGGAAGGCTAGGCGGACGTACACTGGGGATTTATGACATGTTCGATTGCGTATGGACCAATATATCTTGGGGCCAACTTGCGCGACTCAGTCTGGAGTGGCAGGTCATGAGCAGATAACCAGACCCTTTGGCCGACCTGGTAGTCTGGAGCGTGGGTTCGGTGGTGATTTGCCAGCTTCTGGTTACGGGCAGCAGTTCGGGTGAGGGCTGCTCGGGCTTCCCGCCAGACTCGGCGGGCACGACGGAGATGGGCCTGGACTGAGGGAACAGTCACTTCCGTCTCCTGGCTGGGGAACAATGGGGGCTGGAAGCCGTTAGAGACCATAAAAGGGGACATACCTGTGGCGGAACTGACCAGGGAGTTATGGGCGTATTCCACCCATGCCAAGTGCGAAGACCAGGAGGCGGGGAGACGGGCAGTGACACAACGTAAGGCTGCCTCCAGGTTCTGGTTGGCCCGCTCTGCCTGACCGTTAGTCTGTGGATGGTAACCCGAGGAGAGACTTGCAGTGGCCCCCAGTGCCTGACAGAATGCCTTCCAAACCCGGGAAGC